TTAGTATTAACCATGACGGTGCATTTCTATTGTGCCATGGTCAATGCTAGGATAGCATAAGAGCTATCCAAACTTCTCTCGCTATGCGGGATACAAAAATATATGAGTCATCACAAAACTTCTCCCGCCATGCAGGATGGACTAACATAAGTACTATGCCAAACTTCTCCCCATGCGAGATAAATATATATACAAACATGCATGCTTAATTCAACGTTGGTCAAATTAGACATGCATGTTACTTATTGCAACTCTTAACATAAAACATTCACTTATACTTTATTTTCTAATTAAATCTTCCCGTTGGTCCAAATTTAATTAGAAAATTAGTAAACTAACAAAAACAGTCCTGAACTAGCTTGACTCAATTCTTTTCTTTCACATAGCCCAACATTGCAGCCGAGTGTTCTCGGTTAAAATTAAAACACACAAGATACTTCTACATCAATTCTATATCACTGTTGGGCAGAAAATAGAATTAATGTATAAAACTCATAAATTAACTTGAAAGACATATAACTACTCTTCAAAATTAAATTCTCCCGTTGGTTCGAATTTAATTAGAAGATAATCAACTTTATTGCAGCGGAAACACGATAATAAAATACATTCTATTAGTTCAGGAGCATTTCTTGGTCCTTATCTACTCTCTGAAAAATTATCCACGTTAGTGTAAAATTTATCAGAGATTTAAACTTTAAACTTAAACTCATTATAATATAGTTATCATCAACATTCATCAGAAAATAACAATACCATAATATAACATAAACTAATCGGACTACTCCAATTTAAATTAGAGGATAAACATAATACTAATTTACTGAACTAAAATTTACTGCGTTGGTTCGAATTTAATTAGAAGATAATCAATATTAAACTTTACAGCGGAAACATGAAAATATAATTTATCTACTTTTCAGAAGCATTTCACTGTTCTCATCTACTGTCTGAACAATTTATTCCGTTGGTTCAAAATTGAATAGAGATAAAAAAACTAATCAAAATTCACCAAAATGTGCTTTAAAAAAAGATAAAACTTAAATCAGCGTTTACTGTTTATTCGGCCCGGCCTGGGAAATAGTCTGCGGCCCATCTCTATTGCACGCGGCCCAACGGCGCCAAACATGGCCCATCCGAGCGCGTGGCCCAGCGGCACCAAATACGGCCCATAAGAGCACGCGGCCCAGCGGCGCCAAACATGGCCCATCCGAGCGCGTGGCCCAGCGACGCCAACGCCTGCTCTCTGCGTGCCGGCCCATGGCCAAGTTGCCCGCGGCCCATCTCGCATCTGCGCTTCCGCGTGTCGGCCTGTGGTCAAACGCACGCTGCCACGCTCCGCGTCACTAGTCGCAACCTGGGCCTGGGCTAGAATTCTGCTCTGTGCACGCCCTTACCCGCAGGCCCAGCTAACGGCACAAGCATTCTTAGCCGTCGATCTGAATCGGATGGTCGCCTGCACTTCTCGCCCGGAACAAAAACCGGCGCCGCGCTGCTCCCCCAAAACCGTAGGGCTCTTTTCTATTCCAATTTCTCTCTGTCCAAAAATTTCTGGAGCGGCGGCGGTGGCTTCCTCGCACCGACGACGCCTTCTTCACCCACGATGGCGGTGGCGGCTACTGCTGTCGCGCCCTTCCTTCTCCACTGATGACCCCAGCCACGGCAGTGGCGTCCCTCCTCCGCAGGCATCGACGCACGGCGACCCTCGTGCGTCGTCTTCCGGCGGCGGCAGCCACCTCATCCCTAGCGGCCGTTGCGGACTCGCTTGCTGGCACATCCCGCTGATACATTGGGGAGGCGGCGGGCATTGTCCCCGTCCACCCTCCCTTGTGGTACTCTCAACTCCACGGTGGCGCCCACCGCGAAACTTGGAAATCTCAACTCCTTCTAATTTTTTTTCACTTTTCTACCATGATCTAGATCTACACACTAGAACCGAGCTCTGGTACTGTCGGGTTCATAAACCCACGGTCCCCGATGGGCCCGCTTCCCAGCAAAAGCTCGTCCCAGCAGATGGCATTACAACAACGCGCGACTCTTGGGCCGGCCCAGATACCTAACGACAGGTCGGAAGAGCGATCCAGTCTACGACCGGAAGGCCTGACCAAGGAGGGAACGACACTCGCTTTCGACTCTGACCCGCTTTTTCAACCGGGAATACACCGAACCTCTGCTTACAGCTCTTCTCCGACTGGCATGGTCGGATTCGACTGGGAACGACCAACCAGGGATGCTCGCTCGATAAGGACCCAAGAATCAGGCGGAGCAGATAAGGCAAGGCGCTCAAGTCAACCGCAATACCAAGGACCGTACCCTGTACACTTGTAGGACAGTACCGTCAGGCCATGCTAGAAGGGTGCTTTACAACCTTTCAGACATGTCAGAACACGAACAGTGTTGTGGACGTCGATATTTATCCTACAATATGGTAGGCGCCGACATTTGCCATACCAGAAGAACACGATGGAGCCTACCACATGTATTTGGGCGTCAACAGTATTCTGGGCGCCGACAAACTGTCTTGTACCCGATGACGTGGACAACAATACTAGAAAGCACACACACTCTCTCTCTCTCCAAACTTGTAAGGTCATCCCCTTCACCTATAAAAGGGGATGCGCTCTCTCCTAAAGAAGGACGGTCATTCTGACTCTCTCTCTCTCTCTGCTAAGCTTTAGACATTCTGAGCACTCGAACAGCTCTACGGCTCTAGAACTCTAAAGCTACATAGAGCATACGTTCCAATACTTAGCTCATATAGGAGCTTCCGTCACTCTTGGCCCTTCGGTCCAGAGCCCGACCGGACCTTTAACACCCCCTTCTTATTCCCACTCATTTATAACCCCATATCAAACTTCGAGCACCTGGGCTCAGGAATAAAGTCATCGACCGACTGGAACTGGACGTAGGGCACGTTGCCTGAACTAGTATAAACCTTGTGTCATTAAGTGCTAGGCCACATCCGATCACAACGTACGACAAAACTACAAATATTTACTTGTTGGTCCTTTTTGCACCGATAGGTATAATTGATAGGACTGATAAGATCTCTGGTAAAAACTTTACTTAGATAGGAAACTTAATGATGTATCTCGTCCAGTGAAGTCGTGGCCATGGCGCCGACGAGAAAGTGGCAGTAGCTTGACACACCCGCTAGAGTCTCGAAGAAGGCAGGAGTGCTGGCGCGGTCTGGAAGCAGCGGTGAAGGCGGTGGAGCTTCCCGTCGCTCACAGCGCACCCTCATGATCGGACTAGGGTTAGGACATGGTGGGGCGCTGGCGGCTGCGATTAACCTCGTGTCTTGCGCCCCGATCCCCATCTTTCTCTTGATAGCGCTGCGCGATAGGGGCCCATCAGCCAGGAGAACGATTGTGCGTCTCTGATTAGAACGCGGATCAGAGACCCAATTGACCATTGGACCATCCGGTGGAGATCAATTTACCAAAGCAGACTTTGGTTATCGTTGGATGCTCACATTGGTTCCACACGCTTTGATCCGTATACAAAGCAATAATAGACTTTGGTTATCGTTGGATATAAGCATTGGTTCCATACGCATTGATTCGTATGAAAAGCAAATAATGCTCGATAGCGACGGGGAGGATTACGAACTTTAACGGACAGGCAGAATTGACACCGGAGGTTGTGCGGCTGTGCTTCTGAAACGGTGTCCAGCTCCCGAGAGGAGTTTTTTGCTGCACGGCACGGAAGACGCCGGGGGTGAATCCTTCCGTGCGTTTTGCTTGCCGGCGACGAACACAACGTGTTGGCCGGACTCTACTCTGGGAGCCTGGTAGTGGTAGCGTTAGGGGAGATCGGACGTTGCTGCTGATGCCGCCACACATGAGATGAGAGCAGCGCTGCGGCGTCTCTTCCTAGTTCGCTTGGCGCCGTGGCGGTGGCGGGCGCCCCGGCTGGGACGCCTCGGAGGGACCACGGCTCATGTGGGTTTCGGATGGGAGCGTGATTGCAGCTGACCGTTGTTGCTGTGCTAGGCTGGCAGTCGAAAAAAAAAACGTAGTAGGCTGACCAATTTTGGCAGGAACGCGAATGCGACACGAGTCGTGTCTGCAGATGCTTGGAGTTGGCCCTTTGCATATACATGTGGGCTCACACATACAATGGGATTATTATTGTCGGGCATTCGACTTTACTACCAACAACAAAAATCGAAACAACGACCTGCCTGATTAGCGGCAAAATACCGGAAGAGAGAAGATGTACGGTCCGTGTGCATTGCAGGCCGAAAGGCTGAACCAACCCGTGGTTAGGATCTTCCCAGGACTTTGGCCGAGCGACTTGGACACGACGAGTATGCCACGTGGGCACAAAACCCAAAATAGATAGCAAAAGATCTAAAATCAGTTTCCAACAGAGAATTATACTGGAGACCTATTTTAGATTTTTAGGTTGCATGAGAGACATAACCTAAATATAGGCATTCTCTCTCTCCTTAAAACTCATTTACAGAAATAATTCTCTTTTGGAATTTTGTTGTCGAAGAAGATGCCGAATAGGTATAGAACGTTTTAACTAGTAGTGCTACCAAAAAAACAAATAAATCTTGTATTTTGGGTGTTGTTGTTGACATAGCCTGGAGTACACTGGTACGCAACTGAAGCCACTGGCTCGGCTGATTAAATAAGAAACTGAGATATGGCTGATTAAATAAGAAACTGAGATATTTTTCCCGCAACTAAACTCGTCTCCGTTCCCACCACGCACCTACTAAACCCTCCAATTCAGTAAACCCCCTCCACAACTCTCGCTACAGTAGCCTTGTCCAAGTCATGGATCCCCGAATGGCGGACAACCGACGGTCAAATACAGTCACAAATCACAGATCACATCCTAGTTACCATTGCCATGACAGTAATTCTACCTAAACAAAGCTAATCCACCACAACCACACGCAGTAAACAAAAACGAAGAAATCGCACGGACACGGAGGAATCATCCATACTGGCGGCAGTACTTGCTTGGTGGCACTGCGAGGTTCATCAGAGCGTGCAGCCGCAGCAGAGGAAGAAGCAGCACATCATGGAGACGAGCGCGACGGACTCGACGGCCGTGACGACGCCCCAGAGCGCGGCGTCCACCAGGAGCGGCACGTCCCGCACGAGTTCGGGCCACCGCCGCGCCGCCGCGCCGAGCTGCTCGGGGCGCGACCGCTGCCACTGCCACCACTCCTGGACCTGGACCCGGAGGTGCGCGGGCGGCGAGGGGAGCAGCGCGGCCAGGCTCGGCAGGCCCAGGTCCGGCGGCCACCGGAGCATGGACACCAGCCTTCCCCCCATGGGCCCGCCGAAGCGAGGCCGCGCGGCGGCGGCGGCCTCCACGCGCGCCGGCTGGTTCCCTTCCTCCGTTCCTCTCGATCCCGGCGCAGGGGCAGGGCGCGCTACGCCGGCGTGGGTCGGCCGGTCGCTGTGGCGCAGGCGCGCAGCGGCTGTTCTGTCTAAGTGGCTCGAGGCGTTTGGTTGGTTTGACACTTTGTTTGGTCTTTTGACGTGGGGCGGATGATGTGATGGCGGTGTAACGTGTTCTGCTGCTTCTTCCGCCTGCTTGTGTTTTTTTTTATAAAAGGCATAAAGTTTTATTAGCAGCACCAGTCTGCAAGTGGAGCGCGGGTTTAGTTCGCTGAAATTTAAAAATTTGGCTACGGTAACATTTTCATTTTTATTTAGTAATTAGTGTTTAATCATGGACTAATTAGGATTAAAACGTTCGTCTCGCAATATCCAACCAAACTGTGCAATTAATTTTTTTTCGTCTACATTTAATGCTTCATGCACGTATAGCAAGATTCGTACTGTAGCACTTTTTGGAAAAAAAAAATTGGAACTAAACAAGGGCGGAGTATAATGGTCCCAAGTTACAGAGTGCAATGCCTCTCTAGTAGGGCAGATGGAATCATGTGAAACACAATAATATCAAGTTGCTAAGTGAACTTGAGTTTGGACCTGCGCCAAGCTCTAAGATCAGTAGCAAGGAAAGTAACTTTTTGGTGGAAAGGTCTATGGATGGATTTGGACCAACTTTTCTTGGCAATCTGATCAAAAAATTTCTCAAGGAGCCACCAATTCTCAAATCGGAAAAGTTTCTTTGGTTTGGGGCGTTTGGAATCAAGCACCGCAAGAATTGGAGCATGATCGCTTTTCATCATTGGAAGGTGGTATACTGTGGTCGTGGGGAAGGCCGAACACCAATCTGCATTGCCAAGACATCTATCAAACGCTCATAAGTGGGATTAGTATTAAAATGTTTGTTAGTCAAGGTATAAGCCGGCCCATTGTAACCAAGATCAAACCAACCACACTGTTTTATCAAGCAGCAAAATTTAGATATTCTTCTAACATTAGCTGGCCTAGGACCCATTTTTTCATTAACATTCATGATATTACTAAGGCCCTTGCCGTTTCCTTCCCGCGCGTGACTCCAACTGCTCCAGTCCGCCGTCGCCCTTCCCTTCCCCGCTGCTCGGCCACCGTGCGCGAGTGCGCGAGCCCCGCCGCGTTGGACCTGCAGCTCCTCCGTGCGGTCCCTTCCATGCGCCTCCTCCGCACGCCGCTGCTCCATGGTGCCCGTGCGCATCTCCACCACACTGCCCGTGCTGCCGTGCGCCAGTGCCCTTATCTTCCTGTTCGCTTGGTTCGCCGGAGCTGCGTTGGATCGCTGGGAGCGCCGTCTGCGCCGCCTTGGCCTATTTCCCACACCCCGGTCGCGCCGTGCGCCCCAGGCTCGCGCTCGCCTCGCGTCGAGCTCCGCACCGCCTCACCGTCGTGCCCGCCGTCGGCCACGTTCGCGTCGCCGAGGAGCCGCGCCTCGCCATCCGGCTCCTCCGCGCTCGGTACCCCAGCGTCTGCGCTCTGCCCCCGGCGTCCGCGCCGTCACCTCCTGCGCACGCGAGCTCCACGCTACGCGCTGGTACAGCTGCTCCGCGGCGCTGCTTCTCCCAGGCGCACCCACCATCGTCCACACCGGGTCCGTCGGTGACGAAGGGCCTGTTGTCATCCGCGTCGGAAGCCGTCGTGTCATGCTTGGCCCCGGTCCGCGCCGCGTCCAGGCCAAGCACGGTCGTGTCTGCACACCTCCCGGTGCGGCTCACCGGCGGGTGGTCCACCGCGCCGTTGCCGCTGCCGCCGGTCGGTGCCTCTATGCCGTGTTCTGCTTTGGAGAAGGTAGAAAAGGGTATGAATCTAAGGAGAAAGTTTATACAGGGTCTCTATTGTAAAATACTTGACTCACGTAAATAGTACGTTAGTACCGTGGATTAATTTCTGGAAAACATGGGGGCCTTCTTGCAAATTTACCACCGCCACTGTGTTGGGTCGCGCGCATGCTTGCAGTGAGCGAGTTCTGTTAGGGCAGTGACGACCGCTTGCCCTCGCTATTGGCTTGTTGTCAGTAGCCACCATGGTCAAGGCGGGCTTGTGCCGCTTTGCCTAGGCTCACAGTCACACCACGGGCCACGTCTGCCAGCCGGGCCAAGTGCATGTCTACAGTAGAGCCAGCCGCCACCCCTTTAGTTTTCTAAGCACTTGTTAAATTAGTTTTGAAAATAAACTCGTAAAATCAATATAAAATTATGTAGGAGTCCAAAAATGGTGAAACCAATTTTGTTAGTCTCCTAAAATCATGATATACCTGTTCGTATATTCTGTTCACATAGTGTGATAATATTCTTAGAAGCTATATAATTAATTTAAGGCACTTAATATTGTTAAAATGTGAACATGTAAGAATTGTTGTAATAAATTGGTAATAGTGTTGGATCTGAAATTTCTACAGTAGGCCCCTAGCAATATTTGATACTCACTGTAGTTTTTGTAGTTTCAGAATAATTGGTTAGCTAGATAGATAATGATGCTCTATTTCGAATAATGATTAAATCGATAGAATGAAATAAAGAAACAACTTGGATTTGTATAACTAAAATATTTGTTGGGAAATAACGCCTTATTCGACAACATGGATACGTAGATAAGTACGGTTGTCGTTAGAATTAGCTCGTTAACTTGAGAGCCGTAAATCGTATTGTACGAATCACGGTTGCAGTTGATTAATTACTTCTTGCATTGCATCGCATTGCATATCATATAGGTACGATGATGGATCAACGGATCAATTGAAGAATGATTGAGAATCCAAAGATAGTGTAATGATATTCTCTCTAGGAGATGATGCAATGGGTTTTCTATCCAGTTGATGGTGGATGATCTGAAGACGCAGATACTAACTTTTTAATATATATCTTACCCAGGCAAGCCCCGGTGCATAACTCATACTTTTCTGCAGTTTAAATTATTATTATGCATTAAGTTTTAAGGAGTTGACCGAAACCCACTTGCATATATATCTTTATCCTATGAGTCTTACTAGTACGACAGGATCGTGTAGATTGCTATGCTGCAGGACTCCGGTAGAAGTCGAGTGATTGCCTGTCACTCGCGAGATATAGGAAATATATTGCTGTATTATTATCACTGGGAATATATAAAAATGGTGAAAAGAAAAAATGGTGACTGGACAAGGATATGGTTTGGGTATTGGTGGGTGTAAAAGGTTGTGTCGCCGTGGACGTGGGGCATGACTTGATTACACTGCTTTTTCTGTCTGTGTCGGTTAAGGACCGGTCGTTGCATAAGCCATCAAGGCAAGTCACAGACTTATTATCCCGAGCACATACTTGGGTATGGATGCTTGGAAGACTTGTTGCTCTCTTGTCATGGGTTCCGGCTCTTTTCGGACCGACTGTCAGGGTTTCTTTTTGGTGGAGGAGGTCCTTACACCGCACTAAGTCTGGGACTCAGGGGTGGGAGCTTAGAGTCCTAGTTTGGACAGGGACCTAGGACCCTAGGACAAGAGGGTGATGGGTTGGTCCTGCTTGTGCCTTGGGTACAAGCGAGGCGTGTGTTTTCGGGGTACCCAGTTGGGGGAATTGATTCGTAAATCACGGGGCGATCCGGTACGGCTGTTTCGTGTCTAGCACCGTAGTAAGAACTGAAGATGAAAGATGGAAGATGGAAAAAGAAAATCTGATTGCTTACCACCTGCTTGAAAATAGCATAGGTGTTACATAGAATGGTTAGTTAATGAACCAATGCAGCTATTAATAAAAATCAAATATAAGGACGCACGCTTAGTAATATTTCCTGCAGACGCAATAAACCACAAGCCAGATAGCCTTGCATATCCTTAGAGTCTTTTCTTTCCTCCTGTCAGGTAAGTCTTACTGAGTATAATTGAGTACTTAGGGTTTTATTCCTCTTGTTGCAGGTGACAGGTGGATGCTAGAGCTGACCCTTGTGTGTGGATACCTCCTGGTGGGCTCAGCGAGGATTCCTTTATGATGCGATCGTAGTTGTTATTTATAACTCTCACCAAATATTTTTATAAATGAAAGTTTCATAATTCGTTGTCGTAGTTTATATATCAATACTTCATCATGTCATGATTAGATATTTATTTCCGTTGTAATTCTGATCATATATTTATATTTTGTTGTTCAATTAAACTATTTATAACTCTGATAATATAATTATATTCCGTTGTTATAATAATAAATATTATACTCTGATATTGTACTAAAAGTGATGTAAGAAATGGTTAAGAATGATGTAAGCTTTATTCTCTCATTTGTGATCCTGATGGAAAAAATGTGGACTTTCGGGTTCTTCCCTGGGGTGTGCCCGACGGAACCGAGTAATTTAGTGTTCTCACTTGAGTGCTTAGTATCTAATGGAAGACGAGCACTCCTGGAAGACATTAGATTAGGCGGTTCTGCCACAATCACCGTACACACAAACTAAACCAAACTTTTTCATGCATTGCTTATATTCACACACAAGCGATGAAGAAGTGTTGGCTAACTGATAAAACATCTACATCTATATCCTGTTTGATGAGGAGACAAAGGCCTCCAGATTGGCCTTGAGCTGGAACAATATGAGCTTTGCCAACATTGAAACGGTTTACGGACGAGGTGGAGCATTTTGGAACTACCTAGGGTCCCGCTCGAACTCCGGCAATTTCACGATAGGAGACTCATTGCGCCCATGGTGCCTTGAAGGCTGGTGCCAAAGCCTGTTGAAGCTGATCACGAGAAAATTTGCCACGCTCATCAGCAGTCGGATGCCGATGACTACCTTTTCTATTTTTCTGGTTCATCAAGTCAGGTGGGAACGGAGGGACCTCTTTTATTTATAATAATAACTCTATAGACCTCGTGGGGTTCTAACCAGGAAGCCATGTCGTTCTAACCAGGAAGCCGTGTCCACGCCACCCGAAATTCCTGCAACCGTCCGATCTTGCCGTTTGAGGGCCTAGATCTCTTGAAATAGATTCCACCGATGGTGGCTTCTCCTGCTTCTCGGGCTTCTACTCTGCTTTTTTGACTTATCGTTGGAATCCAGCCAAGCAAATATATTGCTCAACTTCCGCTTCTCCTCCAGCTTCTACTCTGCTTTTTCGACTTCTCGTTGGAATCCAGCCAAGCAAATATATTGCACAACTTCCGCTTCTCCTCCAGCAAAAAAAGGCCGCTTCTCTCCCCGTCATCTCTCGCTCTCGATCTCTCCCGAGGCGACGATGACCACGGTGCCGGCGGCCCCCTCCCCCTCCGTTCCCCGCGCTGGTGAGTCCCAACATCCTCTACTCTTCCCCTCCCTCTCTCCTGACGTGGGCGCGGGCAGGGCGGCGGTGCGGTGGCCGCCCTCGGCACGGCGGCGGCCGTCCTTCTCCTCCACGCCCCCTCGCGCCGCACGGGCAGACCGCCCGCGACCCCCACCGGTCCTCTTCTGCTACTGTGATCCGTGAAACCCTAGCGACCTTCTCCGATTTTAGTTTTGATTTCTACTCTAGGGTTTCTATGTCCATGGCAGATTGGTGTGTGTTAGATTCAGCCTAGTATGGGTTCCCAGCACATCAGTTTGGTGCAGGTACTTGCGTCTTCTCTTCTTGACCTTCATAAACAGATCAGTTTGAATCAGTAATGTTTCATATTTTCATTATGTAATTGTGCACTTAACGTCCAGTGCTGCCTGCGTCCAGGAAAAAAGAAGATCAAGTAATACCTATGTAACTGTAGCGTATGGTTTGCATGAGAAGCCTCGATTATGGGAGAAAACAACTGAAATAATTCCCTTTTTTCGTAATGGAAACATTAAAAATAAATGATAACATTTTCCAGTTGTGTTTCAGCAGCTTCTAGGCTGTGTTTTAGCTTCCCATCTTCCCTAAAGCAATATGCTAGATATTCATTTGCTAGGTTATTCCTATCAAATTGTTCAAACATCTTTGTTGAGCATGGACATTATTTAATTTAGAGTTGCTTTATGGAGGCCTAAAAGCCATTCGTTTCTGCTAGATTAATTTGCACAGCAATCATAGATGATGGATTGAGAGATCTTTATATTACGGTCTGTGCAATAAAAGGTGATGGATTGGGAGATCTTTGCTTAATAAAAATAGTTAGCCTTTGCTATCTTTTGTTTGTAAATAACAACTTCTGAATTTTATCTTTGGGAACTGCATTTATCATATTCTAGGTGCTAATGCAAGCTCTTAACTACAGAGCGGAATTTTCATGCAGACTATTGCTGCTTCCTGAACCGCCAAAGGTAAAAATCCCTTTGCTATCTTTTGTTTGTTAATAGCAACTTCTGAATTTTATCTTTGGCAACTGCATTTATCATATTCTTTTGAGGTGCTAATGCAAGCTCTTAACTACAGAGCGAAATTTTCATGCAGGCTATCGCTGCTTCCTGAACCGCCAAAGGTAAAAAATCCCTCTTTGGGCTGTTTTCCCTTGTCAGCCAATGCATTTCAGTTTGCTCCTATTTAATCTGATAGACTGTATGTACAGGTCCCAATTCCCAAATGTTTGTGACATGTGGTCATTTTACTCCAGATGATACCATCACGATTCCTTGATTGCTATTATGCATCTGCTTATTTATAAAGTTGTGGTTTGGTCGCCTATGTAGGTGTGCCTATGAATGCTCTGTTCCTTGTGAAAGTAAACTTATATGTACTGGAAAAGTGATATTCTATAGTTCAATGTGCTGAACCATGCATATCAGTTGATGAAGGTGGGGATCGCATTTTTATCTCTGACAGTAACCAGCATAGGATCATCATTAGCAACAGCCATGGGATAATTCTAGATTATGCAAGCATAGCTTCCAGTTACCTTGAGTTATGATTTTATTTATATGACCACAAGGTTTACATCCATGCAGAATGATGAATTGCCATTTTCCTCCACTTTGCAGATTAGATCTTCTGCGAACTTTGAGGATTAAGAGTTTGAGTCAGCCAAATTCTTGCACCCACCTTCAGCATTTTAGCATGCTGCCGAAGGCTGTCTATTTATTGTGGATTCAGAGGTATTATCCTTAGTAGATTGCCTTCTCCTGTTATTTTTTTACTGTTTAGATCTCCATGATATTTTCCGATCCAATTATGATATGTCTATATTTTCTAGGTTGGGCTCTCTTGCTGATCTAGGGGCAGTATTTTCTCAGTCCTGTAGAGAACACCTTTCAAGTTCAGTTCATCGTTTTGGTGAGTTATCCTCTTCCTCTGTCTTTCTTACATGTTATCCTGGGAATGACAATGATTTCTGCTAGACACAACACTGATCATGTTCCTTGATCATTGATATGTTCACATCCTTCTTTCTCAGTCCTCCCTATTTTTCAAGACATTTGTAAATTTTAGGTTCTGCGGAGGTGTTTCCTGTCTAAAATGATGCAACGTATTTCACATATTAGACAATGTGCATTTGCTGTCCGAAACGAAGATTGTGACAAAATTTACAGGCAGTTAGTTCTTTGATCTATCATGTGTCCTAAAAAAAGAACATAGTGAAATCAGAAGAGATTTATTGCTCCATGATATTTTCCGATCCAATTATGATATATATGTCCATATTTTCTAGGTTGGGCTCCCTTGCTTATCTAGGGGCAACACTTTCTCAATCCTGTAGAGAACCCTTCCAAGTTCAGTTCATCGTTTTGGTGAGTTATCCTCTTCCTCTGTCTTTCTTACATGTTATCCTGGAAATGGAAATGATTTCTGCTAGACACAGCAGCGCCTCTACATTGTTCCAGTTAACCGGTCACCACATGTCAAAATCTTGCTGCCTCTTTTTAACTTCAGTCATGTATGAACCCCGTTATGGATTCAGTGCTACACATCTCTGCAGACTGTACAACATAATAAGTGTTGTCCACCTGCATTTTTTCCAACATAGGTACTTCCTCTCAAATCACTAATTTAGTCTCCAGTTATGCTTTGTTTTACTACATTTTATTGAAACACAAGCCACATGGAATCGCAGCTGAACCTGCATCTCAGCAGAACAAAAAATCGCGCTCCACTCTCTTGTTCTAATATTTGTTGGCCGTAGGTTCCATAGCGTGCTATGTCAGGAAATCTAACATTCAACATATGAATTTGGTGTCAGCTTTTCAGGTTTGCCTTCCTAGGTCATAAGATCAGGAATACAGTCAAGATATCCAACGCTTCTTGTTGCACTGTAGCAGCATGAAAAAAAATAGCCTTAAGATTATTTTCTATACATTGTTTCTATTTATGCCTTTAACTGACGATGACATAATATTATTATATGCTATATAAAATTTCTATTTCAAAGATATCTTTTCCAGCTGCTCCAAAAAAACACTAGCCACATATTGGCTGCTGTGTCATAATGGGCATGTATTATCTGCTGCTGTGATAGTTCCCCAAAAGATACAGGCCTCCTAATTGTTGAGGAAAAGTTAAGTACACACATCTATCTTCGTATGACAAGTTAATTAAAACTATGGCTGCTCTATAGCTAATGCTCTTGTGTTCGAACCGGCATATTTGTGGGGTTTTGAATCTATACATATACATATACATATACATATACATATACATATACATATACATATACATATACATATACATATACATATACATATACATATACATATACATATACATATACATATACATATACATATACATATATATATATATGCTGGTGAATATAGCAAGTTCTACTTTTTGTTACTGCCCTTGCATAGGGTATGTGTACCTGCATAGGATATTCTTTCCTGATTTTTTTAAAATAAATAGTTATACACCTGCATAGGATACGTGCACCTGCATCTAACCTAAAGTGATTTTTCTGGTTTGCTATGTACTTAATCTATTCTGATTGGTTAGGGACTATGATTCATATTGCATTGCTACAATACATGATTCAGAAGGTACATCCTGATCAATGTTTACTTGCTACTGTTGCCTTGGCGATTCTTATGCAAAGTCCGCGGTCATAAACAAAATGAGAGTGGTAAATGTTTTTGTGATTATTTCGCATCACAGTTATGGTTTAAGCTATGCAGCACTTCTAATTGTCCATCTCATCTTTTTCGGGTGTCCAAGAAATAAAAAGCACGAACTCATCTGACCATATGTACTTGCATTTAGTTTACTTTTGTTGTGCTTCCTACAACCTTACAAAATGGGCAGTCACGTCTTCCTTCCAAGTTTCACTCTGTACTTCGTTATCTGCAGTCCAGAGTTAGGCCAAAGAAAGGCTTAGGTTCCTATATGTATCTCAGTCATTTTTTCCATTCACTCAGATTATGAATATCCATAAGTATTTCATGATATATCTCAAACCAATTCAGTCTCTGCATTTGTAACTGCACGTGCGGGCGATGGCGCACGCCCTTTCACTAGTGGTCAACATGTATCGGCCGCTCCTGGAAACCAGGGATCTGCCAAACCGTGTTCAGATCGGCAGTCTGGGTGGCCGCATTGCCGCAATTCCTCTGCTCATTATGCTGCTGAGCAGAAGTGCATTGATTGTTGACCATGGTCAGTGCTTGGGGGTGCACGCGGTGTTGGGCCATTTCAGTGGCTAGAGTATCGTGCCTGCTCATCTGCATGCAAAGAGAATAGATGGTGCTGCCGTTGCAGTGGCCCGCACGGCATGCGAGTGTCGCTGTTCACTGCATTTGCGAGCTGGTAAGCTTCTCATTGTTTGACCGAGTGCAGCAGCCCAAGCATGCTTGCCGCTACTCCATTCATTTCTTATGGGAACCATGCATGCAGTAGCTTTGACCAGAGAAGAGAGAGGGTGCCGCCCCACTGCATGAAGTAAAGAGGGAAAGGGCTTGCCGCTGCTCCAAGTGTGTTTGCATGCTGCTGCTGGCGCACAGATGCAGGTGCAGACGCTGCACCATTTCCTGCCGCTTGCATGCTTCTTCGGCCAAAATGAGTGGACTCGAATGGGCCGAGCCATGCATGCGGTGGGGTCTTCAGAAATTAATGGCACGAGGGGCGGCGCATCGCATTCACGGAGGTGGGCCGGTGGGTCTGGCACCGAGGGCGACCGTCTGGGCTGCCCGGGGCCTGCAGGCCTGGTGCGCTCGGACGGGTGGTTGATGAGGGATCGCAGGAGGCCCATCCATTGACTGACAGCCCGTTCGGCTAGGCTAAATTAGCTGGCTGGGCTGCTTTTGGCTGGGCTGCCGAACGGCTGTAAAGCCAACCTGGGTTTCCGCCGCGCCCGTCAGTCCCTCACTCACTCACTCCGAACGGCCGCGTTCTCCTCCCTCCCCCACTCCGTCCCCCGCGCCCACCACGTCTAGGGTTTCCGCCGCGCGGGCCGCCGTGGGCGTGAGCTCCGCTTCTCCGTTCCTGCCCCGGCGCCGTCGAAAGCATCAAGTTTGTCGAACTAGAGCACCGCATCCCCCCCTTCAACCCGCCGACGTCGACGCTCGTCCGACGGCAAGCAGGTACCCCCGGATCCGAGTTCACCTCCTCCTCCCCACTGATACGGCCTTGCCATTGCCACGCATTCCGGATCCGACGCCGCCGTCGTCCACACCCCCCCACCCCCACCCCCCACTGGATCTGACCCCCACGTGCTCCTATTGCAGGTGAGCCCGCCCGCCGCCAACGGATCCGCCTCTCAATTCACCGGATTCGCCAGCCTTTTCGCCGGATCCGCCACACTGGCAGCGTCGCCCGCTTCGTCCTGCTCCTCTCCTGAAGGCAGGCACTGCACCCACCGTTCAAAACGCGCGAAGACTTCTAGCAAGGCAAGTCCCCATCTGTTACGCCCTAACTCCCCTGTTTGTTACTCTTACAAGTGTTGCAAATTTTCTTGTATGCTACATTCATCATACCATACATTTTGCAAATGACAACAGATGTCCACTGACCGTGCTAACTGGGATGAAGCCACCTTGAGGACCTTTCTGGAATTAGTCATAGAACAGAAAAACCTTTTGCACTGGAACCAACGAGGCCTCACAACCGTCGGGTGGTCGAATCTGTATCCAGCATTCGAAAACAAAATGAAGCTGGGTTATGATAAGAAACAACTGCAGAACAAGTTGAATGACCTGAAGCGGTCATATTTCGTTTGGCGTGACCTTCAAACCCACACTGGCCTAGGTCGTGACCCGATCACAGGAGGCGTCGCAGTTGACCCCTCGTTTTTTGAGGGTGGCAACGGGGTACTTCCTTCCACCTATTTTCTTTCTAACCCGCTGACTACCAAAGTACTAGGGATGGTCCCATTCTATTCGTCCTAACTTGTGGAACCATGGCACACGTGCAGGAAAATAGCCAATCGGCTGCGCAGCGGACCAAAGTTCCCAACTGCCTTGACCTACTAGTCACTCTTTGGGGACGCACCCCCCATGAAAGGGGCACGTTGCTCACTTCTGGTGGACATCATCGCGAGAGGACACCGAGTACTCCTAGCAATGAAACTCCACACGACATGTCCCAGGAGCCTTTAGGTACACACGGTGTCGGCCAATCCTCCAAGAGATCCCATAGAAAAAATTCCATCAACAGCCCTCCCAGTAAGAAGATTGTTTCCATTGACGAGTGCCTTGAAGACCTGACCCAGTTCATTAAGAACCATACGCAGCAGAAGGCCGGGTCAAGCAAGCACGATGAGGAGATGGCCAAAGTGAAGCAGATTATGAACACAAGATGGTTTGCCCAAGTCTGATCCTGCGTTTGCTTATGCTTTAGTTGTTTTCAAGAACACAGTGGACCGCAGGAACTTTCTAAGCATGGAAACGAAAGAGGGCCGCATGAACTTGATTGAGGCCTGCTGGGAGGTTCTGAGAGCCAGATCGAAGTAGTCGTTATCCCAACGAATGTTCCTTCTACGACAGTCTATTTAGTTTTATGTTCGAATTGTGCGTGTTGAGGATGCATGTTTGCCCTATGTTCGTTTCATTTGATATTGTCATTGTAATGTTCCCTAGACATTGTTTGGTTAGTTGCATCGATGTGTTGTGGCCTGTGGCCTGAACTTTGTGTGCTCGTTGTTTTTCCCTAATCGAAATAAATTGTGTTATGTGATGTACATATCTTGGTTGTAGGTTGACCTACATTTCGTAATAAGACAAGACTCTATTAATTGGTATTCTATGTTACCTTGAAATCTCTCTTATTGTGACTTATCACACTGACCTACATTTCCAGTTTTAAGTGCTGGTGCTGTTTCTCTAGGCCATCCTATCGGCTGCAGTGGTGCACTTTCAAAAACTGAAGGTATTTGTGTCTGCACTTGCTCAAGTAGTTTGAAATTATGAAGTCCTACTTGTTTGTTTTTTAAGATAAGTGTATTTCGTCTTGTGCATGTTTAAAAACTGAAGGTATCCTTTCAACAATGGACCCAGCACGTGCAACAGATGCTGAACACAAAGAAGTTTGGTGACATTGAATTTAGAGATAAGGATTTTAAGACTGCAATTGACTACTACTCCAAGGTACCAACATCCCTGTGCTTCTCCATTTCATGGACCCTGTCTGCAATGGACCTTCACATATGAATGTGAGTGCCTATTTGGATTAATTGGTGCCAATATATCAGGGGCTGTTGTGCTTGACACATCATGCTAGTGATTAGCTTCTCTCTGTTGGTACCAATAATTATAAATACTCCAGTGACCAGTGCTATTGCGGTGAATTGTGATCTTTATTCATAAATTCATGTATAACCTTCAAGGGGTGTTGGCCTGTTGAATCCTAGTGCTAATCGTAGATAGCTAAGTGACCAGTGTTCATATTCTGTGATTTTGTTCATAAATTATGTACATGCCCCTCCGTGTTTGTTCCAGGATCCATTAGTGCTACTAATAGTAAATTCTTACTGGCTATTAGTTAGCTAGTTATTATCAGTGGCTATTTGGATGGACATATCACTAGGTGGTTGGAATCAATTAGTAAAAAATTTATAAGCACGACTCTAGCTAATAGTCAGCAGTTCCCCATGCTAAATTTAGTCGCTAAATATATATTGGCACCAATTCATCCAAATAGGCACTCACCGTTTGTTTTTCACTACATAAATGATTATGTGTTATCTAAATAGGCACCAATTATGTGTTATCTAAATAGGCATCATTTCAGGGGCTCTTGTGCTCGACACATCATGCTAGTGATTAGCTTATCTCTGTTGAACCCTGTCTGTTCTCTTTGTATATCTGGGCTTATACAACGCTTTCATTTGTTGAGACAGCCTGGAAGAACTAACACAAGAAAACTGCTATTTTGTTTGTCAGTGTTCTAATTTGTATATCACTTGCTCTTTCTTATCTTATCATGCTGTTGCAGATGAGCAGCTCTGAGGATTCCTACATCAGCGACACCTCCAGCGAAGGAACGCAAATTTACAACGTTGCGACTGCTGCTGTCCTTGTTGCAAGGTTAAAAGCAGCAGTGGCCAATGCGGCTCCAGTGGTCAACCCTGCCCTCCCCTTCCCAAAGATAAGCGGGCGACAGTGGATGCAACTGAATCTGCAAAACGAACAAAGGTGCAAAGAAAACCTACGTATGTCTCCTGATGCTTTCTTGCATTTGCACAATATTTTAGTTGAGTATGGATTGAAGGGTACACAACAGACAGGATTCATAGAAACTTTAGGATTATATGTGTGGACTTGTGCTCACAACGAGGCAGCTAGAAGGAGCAGGGATAGATTTGAACGGTCTTTAGATACAGTTAGTAGGAAGGTTACTCATGTGGCCGAGGTTATTAGTAGATGGGCAGACAATATTCTAGTTCCAATTGATAGAAGTTATGCTGGAGTGCACGCTCAGTTTTCAACATATGCACCATTTTTTGATGGGTGCATTGGGGCGTTGGATGGAACTCATATTAAAGTGTCGGTGAACAAGGAGGCCAAACTTGACTACATAAACAGGAAAGGAGATGTAACAATTAATGTTTGTGCCATTGTGGATATGGATATGCGCTTCACGTTTGTCGGGGCTAGGATGGCAGGGTGAAAGCTCTAGTTTGGTTTTGGTGAATTGATGAAACCCTAAGTGCTAACCTAGTTTATCAAGTGATCATTAAATAGGTAGCACATTCCAAGTTGTGAAGCAAATGAAGATCATGGCATGATGACGGTGATGCCATGGTGATGATCAAGTGCTTGGACTTGAAAAGAAGAAAGAGAAAAATAAAAGGCTCAAGGCAAAGGTATAAAATTGTAGGAGCCATTTTATTTCGGTGATCAAGACACTTAGCGAGTGTGATCATATTTAGTTTTGATAGCCGTACTATTAGGATGGGTGAAACTCGTATAGGAATGCGGTTATCAAAATGCTACTAGATGCTCTAACTCATTGCATATGCATTTAGGATCTAGTGGAGTGCTAACACCCTTAAAAATGTTTGTGAAATATATGCTAACACACATGTGCACAAGGTGATACACTTGGTGGTTGGCACATTTGAGCAAGGGTAGAAAACTTCACCGGCGGAGTGTCCGCCCGTAGAGTGCGGACAGTTCGACGGTGCCACCGGCGCCCTAGATAGAAAAGACGGAGGTCACTGGAAGTGACCGGACGCTGGTCTCGGTTGGACCGGCGCGTCCGATCAGGTGGAGCTGAAGACGCTGGCGTCGGTCTCTGACCGAACGCTGGGTCACTTAGCGACCGGACGCTGAAGGGGTGCGTCCGGTCCAGCTGATGTGGCAGCATACAGAAGAGTCACCATGTGATCGGACGCTGGGTGAGTCCGGTCGAGCATGACCGGACGCGTCCGGTCGGAAAAAATCGTTTCTGGAAGCTTACTAGAAACGATCGGACGCTGGGGGTTCAGCGTCCGGTCACTGTTAGCTGCTGCGTTCGGTCATCTTCTGACCGTTGAGATCGGGCCACAGCATTTGAAGAGAGGGACACGTGGCATGCATCGCGTGACCGGACGCTAAGGTCCAGCGTCCGGTCAATCTGACCGGTGCGTCCGGTCGGCCCGTGTTCTGTGCAGTTAGGAGCCCAACGACTCTATTTTGTGGGGGCTTCTATTTAAGCCCCATGGCCGGTTCAAGCTCACTCTCTTGGCCATTTACATTGATATAGCAACCTTGTGAGCTTAGCCAAAGCCCTTCCACTCATCTCCATTATTGATTCATCATCTTTGTGAGATTGGGAGAAAATCCAAGTGCATTGCTTGAGTGTTTGTATCTAGAGGCACTTGGTGTTCGTGTTTCGCTGCGGGATTCGCTTGTTACTCTTAGCGGTTGCCGCCACCTAGATGGCTTGGAGCAGGGAGGATCGTCGAGCGGAGGTTGGTGATTGTCTCCGGCTCTGATCGTGGTGATTGTGAGGGGTTCTTGACCTTTTGCCGGCGGAGAGCCAAAAGGTACTATAGTGGATTACTCGTGACTTTGTGATCCTCATCTTGTGTTGGTTGTGCGGCACCCTATTGAGGGTTTGGCGTGTGATGCCAATTAGCGCGTGAACCTCCAAGTGAGTGAATCGCCACAACGAGGAGTAGCTTGCCGGTAAGCAAGTGAACCTCGGAAAAAAATCATTGTGTTCATCCTTTGATTCCGAGGTGATTGGTCTTCATTGATATTGATTCTTGTGATTGATTGGTTCACTCCTCGACACGGCGGTATAACTATCTTACTCACTCTCTTTACATCACCGCAAACTAGTTGTCAAGCTCTTTAGTGTAGCTAGTTGTGAGAGCTTGTTAGTTTGGTTAGTGTGACTCTTTAGTTAGCCTTTGAGAGCACACTAACTTAGTGTAGTGACATAGCTATTGTATGGATAGAAACTATATCAACTAGAATTGTGGTAGGTGGCTTGCATTTTTGGTAGGCTAGCGCAACACTTGCTTCGCCTCATAATTGTCTAACCAGTTTACTAAGTGTTGTTGTAGAAATTTTTATTAGGCTATTCATCCCCCTCTAGCCATTAGGACCTTTCGGAGGGTCAATGCATGGCATGGCCATACTAAGAGAATGTTGGCGGCAACCAACGTTCCCACATCCACCACAAGGTTAGTGATTAGTGCCATGCAATAGTTGAACCATCTTTGTACTTGCTTTTGAAGATGACGAAAATGAATTGTGGAAATGGTGCATGTGTTGCAGGACGGTACTATCTGGTGGACGCGGGATATGCACTGGAGACTGGCTACATGGCTCCATTCAAAAATACCAGGTACCATCTAGACGATTTTAGGGGTGTAGACATGGACACATTATCTCGACAGGAGAAATTTAACTTCACTCATTCGAGCCTCCGCAATGTAGTCGAAAGGACATTTGAGGTTCTCAAAGCCCATCGGCACATATTGCATGGGGTGCCGTTTTGTCATAGGGAAAAGCAAAAGGTGATTATTATGTCATGCTTTGCAATCCACAATTTTTTACGGAATCGTGAGATTGGAGTTGGTTCGCCTACATACCCATCGTCGGATTGGGTTCAGATCAATGCTAATTCCACTATGCCATTAGTGAGGGAGTACATATTTGTGGCTCTCTGGGGATAATGATGCAACAAAGGTGATTAAAATTAAGATGCCAAGTACTTCAATTAAAGATAGTTGTTTGCATTACAATGCCAACTGAATGGTTAATGGAGCAGACTTTCGCTCTTTCATTTCCTATCTTTATGTGCATTTCATTTGTTAGGTAGTTGTAGTGCTCAAAGGTTGTATGATATTCTTGTTCATCTGATCCTTGTACTGAGTGATACATGTAGAATTGTAGATGCACTGAGGTACTTCAAGATTGTTTGTAGTAAGGTACTATATGATTTATCATTTCAACCTTGTATTTTGTGGACATGCCCCCTGAGTGATATATGTAGAATTGTAGATGCACTAAGGTACTCCTCTACTGGCGGCCCGGTATAAGTTTAGTAATGAGCTCAATATAAATTGGTAGAACTGGTACTGTCATCTGTGTAGTTACAATGTATTGTAAATTGGTAGATAATTGAAACTGCTTTTGCTTATCATGCCCAGTGTGTGTTGGGGCTTGCTATTGACCTTGAATTCGTTTTTGTTTAAACCACGCAAGTACGCAACCAATATCTTACAGAGTTTTTGGCACAGGTGACCATTGGCGGGCTCGTACTTTGAGTGCTAACATGGGGTTTGTAAGAGCTGTGTCACAGTCTGAACATGAAACTATCTGAAGTGTGTATTTTGAAGTATCATGTTTGTGAAGAATCATGTTTGTGAAGAAGTGTAATGTGAAGAATCATGTTTGTGAAGAATCATGTAAGAGCTGTGTATTTTGAACTATCTGAAGTATCATGTTTGTGAAGAAGTGTAATTTGAACTGTTGTGTGTATTTTGAACTGTTGTATAATGGCTTGTATGGACCTGTTATTTGTACTGAACTGCTACTGGACTAGCTTCTAATGGACTGTTAGTAGTCCCTAACGAACTGTTATTTCTGCTGCTGTATGGTAATTTCAATGGATTATGGTTTGGCGCCATTAGTTGTACTGGATGTGGTGTTGGCGCCATTTTTTTGAAATGAGCAAATGACGCCTGATGGCTGGAATTGGTTAGTTGGCTGGTTTTTTAAATGAGCGAATGGCAGCTGTTGGCTGGAGCTGGTTAGTTGACTGGGTTTTCCTGTACCAGCTGGTTTCCATCAGCAGCCGTTTCCAGGCTGATAATACCAGCCGAACAAGGTGTGATACTCCGTAAGTTTGTCTTGTGTGTCAATCATCATCCTGAAATATAAACGGAGGACATGCTAAAATTCTGTACTTCATTTACAAACAAAAGTGGGGACCATCAGCTTCGGCAACATTTTACCTTGCCACGTTCAGTGGAGCAAACTCCAACACACTTGAATTATAAAAAAACCTCCAACACTTGAAACCAAGCAAGCTCGAGAGTACCTCTATCTCCGCATCTCCTTATCTATAAACACTTGAAAAAAACCTTCACAAAAAGGAACAAACTTGACAAACTTTAAAAAAACATAAAAGGAAATGCATTTATGCATGTTTGTAATCAAACAGTTGTGGATGTGATCCTAACGGGTGTGCACCCGCTTCCGCGTGTATGAGGTTTTCCTAATTATTTAGACAAATTCAGTTCTATTACTATGACTTAGGGCCGGTTTGGTAGAGCTCTACCTTTAGAAAATGTATATCTAGATATAGGATTCACCTGTATCTACCGTAGAGCAGCTCCACAGTGGATCGGGATCCTAGAAAGTGTTCGGTATAGCTCCAACCTCTCCTCTATCCCATTGTGACCTAGGGCCCGTGCATTAACTCTTCATCCTCTTCCTTCCTTCCTACTGCTCGAGTCCCCTTCCTACCGCTCGAGCCCGCCTCCGCCGCGGCGGGGCCTCTGACGCCTCCTCCCATGACTAATTCGATTGATCCAACCGTAGGCGCAATGGACGTGCGGCTCCTGGCGGACTTGCTTCGCGTGCGTGCTGCCTGTGTTTGTCGCGTGGTTGCCTTTGACTCAGCAGGCGCGCCGTGGTCGAGGTCACCTTCTGCGCGTCTTGGGGCGTGCGTCTCGTGGTCTACGGGCCGACGACGTAGGGGGGCTTCTAGGGAGCTGCCTCCCTCGGGGAGCCACACGGCGGCTGTGCGTAGCCATGGCGAGCAGCGCCCTAAGTTCACGATGCCGTCGACCTGCGTTCGCGTGCACGGGAAAGAAGACGACGACGCTACAAACAAAAAATAGAACAAACCGTTTTTTATGTAATCAATGACATGATGGGTAATTTTCTCAAGCTCCACCAAACCTGAACTTGAGGTGTTCCACTAATTTGGTGAATCCGGATACAGATCTACCATTTTGGTGGTGCAAATTGGAGCTGCTGGATCCAAACACGATTGGCTGGAAAAATTTTAATCAGATATGGTTTTAGTGAGTACGGTGGAGGCCTTTATATTAGGAAAAGGCACGGTCGTTTAACTGAAGGAAGCCGCTTTCATTAACTCCGAGAACCCGCCTTCGCACCGTCCTATCCCTGTCTGCCGCTCGGCGTCTCGGCCTCACGCTCTCGCGGACCTGCTATTTGTCAGTGCAAAATTCCCAAATATAAATCGAACGACCCCTCCAGAACAAAGCTAGGGTTTGCCTCCTCCACCCTCCTCCCGCTCTCCCGCCTCCTCCTGGGAACCGCGCGAGCGAAGGACCGCTCGTCGTCTCGCCGCCGCCGCCGCCGCCGCCGCCATGGGGACGGAGCGGAAGCGGAAGGTGAGCCTCTTCGACGTGGTGGACGAGACCTCCGTCTCCGCCAAGCTGGGCCGCGCCGCCTCCAACGGCGCCGCCGCCACCGCGGCGGGGGGCAATCCGTCTGTCAACCGGTGGAACGGGCGGCCCTACACGGCGCGGTACTTCGAGATCCTCGAGAAGCGCCGCACGCTCCCCGTGTGGCAGCAGAAGGAGGAGTTTCTCCGCTCCCTCCGCGACAACCAGACCCTCATCCTCGTCGGCGAAACGGGAAGCGGAAAGACAACTCAGGTACCGCAAACGCTACAATACTCATACGCCTTCTCCTATGCAGCTATGCCCTGCTGATTAGGTTTCTGTCATGTTTGATTTTCTTATTATATCGTTTGTAGCTAAGGTTAAGAGATAGTGCTATATAGATTGCCCAATCGTTCCTTTGGTAAAGTGGTCAGACATATTTATGCACTTGTTTGCATAACTGAGGCCAGGTTACTGTTGGTTTTGTTCGTGTGAAGGGCTGATGGCTTTGTTATTATATATAATAGTCTTGCTCAACACTTGTGATGGTTTATTTGGGTTATATATGTTGAGCAGATCCCCAATTAGGTTACTGGATGGCTTGATTTTCTTAATTCTATCTATTGTTTATGGCCAAGGTCAGGGGATAGATGTTTTAGGGGCTACCTGTATGGGCAAGGAAAATTGATCATTTGTTTGTGTAATGAAGGAAAGGCTATGCTTATTATGATCTTATTAGTTTCTCTATAAATTGATTTGAACTTGTGGTCCTTGTATGTCTTTCTCGCTCAATTAAGTTGTGATGATTGATTTGCGTTATGTTGAACAGATCCCCCAATTTGTTCTTGAGGCAGAAGGCTTAAGTAACCGTTCCATGGTTGCCTGCACTCAGCCTCGGAGGGTCGCAGCAATGTCAGTCTCCAGGCGTGTGGCGGAGGAGATGGATGTTACTATTGGGGAAGAAGTGGGTTACAGCATCCGGTTTGAGGATTGCAGCAGCCACAAAACTGTTCTCAAGTAAGCCTTTTTATATGTCTCTATGTTTCGTTTAAGAACGTGATTAGATGCACTATCCTTTTGGCAGATTGATATGGAGTGTATGTTTCTTTTCTTTTTTAGGTATTCTGATCTAATCCTGTTGTGTTGAACACTATTGCTTCCTATCAGATATTTGACAGATGGTATGCTTCTGAGAGAAGCAATGGCAGACCCACTTTTAGAGAAGTACAAGGTGATTGTTCTTGATGAGGCTCATGAGAGGACTTTGGCAACAGATGTTCTGTTTGGGCTTCTGAAGGAGGTTCTAAAAAATAGACCAGATTTGAAGCTTGTTGTTATGAGCGCTACCCTTGAAGCAGAGAAATTCCAGGGTTACTTCAGTGGTGCACCCTTGATGAAGGTGCCTGGGAGACTTCATCCAGTTGAGATATTTTATACCCAAGAACCAGAGAGGGACTATCTAGAGGCTGCTCTCAGGACAGTTGTGCAAATACATATGTGTGAACCTGCTGGTGATATCCTTGTATTCCTCACTGGAGAAGAGGAGATTGAGGATGCATGTCGGAAAATCAATAAGGAAATTAATAATACGGGAGATCAGGTTGGCCCAGTTAAAGTCGTGCCTTTATACTCTACACTGCCCCCAGCCATGCAGCAGAAGATTTTTGAACCTGCTCCTGCCCCATTGAAGGAAGGAGGTCCTCCTGGAAGGAAAATTGTTGTGTCCACCAACATTGCTGAAACATCCTTAACTATAGATGGCATAGTTTATGTGATAGACCCGGGGTTTTCCAAACAGAAAGTTTACAATCCAAGAATAAGGGTGGAATCCCTCCTGGTGTCACCAATTTCTAAGGCAAGTGCTCATCAGAGAGCTGGTCGTGCTGGACGAACGCAACCTGGGAAGTGCTTTAGGCTATATACAGAGAAGAGTTTTAATGAGGATTTGCAACCACAGACATACCCAGAAATTCTTCGGTCGAACCTGGCAAATACAGTTCTTACTTTGAAGAAACTTGGAATTGATGATTTAGTACATTTTGACTTTATGGATCCTCCAGCACCAGAAACTCTAATGAGGGCCTTAGAAGTTTTGAACTATTTGGGTGCACTAGATGATGAAGGTAATCTAACACAGTTAGGAGAGATGATGAGTGAGTTTCCCCTGGATCCACAAATGTCAAAGATGCTTGTCATCAGTCCAAAGTACAACTGTTCGAATGAGATCTTGTCAATATCTGCCATGCTGTCAGGTATGTTAATTATCACTAAAGGTTTAACAAATTGCATTTCTACAAATTATCTTGTCTATATGTTTATCTGGACTACTTTGCTTGTCAGTTCTGTTCAAGCGAAGTGCCAGGTTTCTATTATGGCATGTGAGCTTGCATGCATACTACTGCATGTGCGCTTAGCATCATTTTCTTGTGCATTTCTTTAATGGGCTGTCATCAGCAACTGTCATTCACCTGGCTTCTTGAGCTATTGGTCGAAATGATCATACAGTTTAGGCTGATGCAGATAATTGCTGTTTGTTGAGTTATTCTGACAAAGCAAATGGTATCATCTCGCCTCTTTGCATCTGCTGACCACCGTGGACTTCGTCTGTTATTACCATATTCTTTCTCTAGTACCCAATTGCTTCCTCCGGCCTAGGGAGGCTCAAAAGGCTGCTGATGAGGCGAAGGCTCGATTTGGTCATATTGATGGGGACCATCTGACGCTTCTGAATGTATACCATGCATACAAGCAAAACAGTAAGTCCATAAGCCTCATTCAATTAGGGATGCATGTGGCTATGGGTTGGGCTTATGGACCCTTTTGTTGAACCACCTGTTGAAAGTTAAAGTGAACCACTAATTTCAGTGGAGGCCTTGGGTTGGCTCAGTTGCATCCATCGTTTTCTCTTCCTAACAGTTATTTTTATTGGCGATGCAGATGAAGATCCCCAGTGGTGTTACGAGAACTTTATCAATTCCAGAGCACTTAAGTCTGCAGACAATGTCAGACAACAGCTTGTTCGCATCATGACTAGATTCAACCTCAAGATGTGCAGCACGGATTTCAATAGCCGTGAGTACTATGTCAATATCAGGAAAGCCATGCTTGCAGGGTATTTCATGCAGGTCGCTCACCTGGAACGAACTGGACATTACCTGACTGTAAAAGATAACCAGGTTTCTATTTTCCATGTTCAAAGAATCTCAAGTTTTCTTGCTTAGGGTGTGGTATTGAAGTCTTGTAACCCTTCCTTGCTAGGTCGTCCATCTTCATCCCTCCAATTGTATGGACCATAAGCCAGAGTGGGTCATCTACAATGAATATGTCTTGACCACCAGGAATTTCATCCGCACAGTCACCGATATCCGTGGGGAATGGTGAGTTGCTACTACCTTAACAAAGCTGATCACTTGTTTAGTTTGACCATTTGAAGATGGATATGTTGATATTTTCTGTGTGACTTATGTGCAGGCTAATTGATATGGCGCCACATTACTATGATCTGAGCAATTTCCCGTCATGTGAGGCCAAGCGTGTTCTTGAGAGGCTGTATAACAAGCGGGAGAGGGAAAGAGCTGCAAATAGAGGCTGAAGTTGATACTTCCACAAACCTGGTGCTTCATAGTTCCACCGCAGGTCTATCCAGAGCCCTTATATAAGCTTTGGTTATCACAGATAGCCGCCCCATTTGTTATAGGCAAAGGCGTCAGCATGATGTCTTCTACTCCGTGTTGCCTATTGTGTTTCATCAGCATGATCATTATGTAGACAGCCTCGAGAAATCCTTTAGCAGCTCTTAGTTGTGATGCAGATTAATTGTATGCGAGTCTCCTTATTTTTGTATGCATCAGACATTTATATTTTGTATTTCTATGTGGTTAACTGGTTATCCTTTGGTTGGAATGAAAATCCACTGATTTTGGTTTATCAGCTTAGCTGGGGTTATGTATGCCTATTATGCCTACTTCCGGTTGCAGGAGGGAGGGTTGAACGAGGTTGGCACTGAAGAAAAGTTCCTGTCTCCCCCCTTTTTTTTATATGATACTTTCTGTGTGATACGACAAGGATAAGGCGATATAACTGGCTTAGGCAGAAAGAAATTGGATTGCGTTTATCAAATGTGTATCAAAATGGAAACTTTTATAGTGGGTACAACGTAGCACTTGCCAATATGACAGTGGGCGCGTTTGGTTCTCCGCCACACCATGCCACAGCAAAGTTCAGACTGCCACACAGACTGACATATTGTTTGAACTGCAAATAAAGTTAGGCACACCACAAGCTTTTGCATTGATCTAAAGCAGCAAAAAATATGTTTCTTTCTAAATATCTGATGATTTTGGCGCATATTGGTCGTTTTTGGTGCCACAAGTGTGTGCCTTCCTTACCCAGTTATCATCTTTGATAAGTTTGAACAGCACAGTTTCTTTCTAAATATCTGATGATTTTGCTTTGATCTGAGTCAAGCCATTTCAAGCACAAAAAATACTCCACCCATTTAAATTGTAGGTCATTCTGGCTTTTCTAAATCCTAGCTTTTACTATGTATTTAAATTTAATATATATCTAGATACGTAACAAAAACTATATACTTAGAAAAGATAGAACGACCTACAATCTAAAATAAAGTACTAATGTTTACAATACTAAAAAGGTTTTATTATGTCATAAATATTTATGTTTTTTTTCCAATAAATTTAGTGAAAGTAAATTTGTTTGATTTAGAATAAACCTAAAATATCAGTTATTTTGGGACAAAGTATGATGCTTCTGTGTTCACAAGTTAAAATAACATGACACGGCTTTAAGGATATGGAAGCCATGAGCGCTTTCAAGAGTTTCAGGAATATGCATATGCATTCAAAGCAAGAAGCCATTGCAGGATGATTCCCTAGTAACCGGAGGAAAAACATGAGGCCAATCTGCCTATTTCACGCTTTAAACAAAAAAAAAAGGAGGAACCATTCTGTCTATCTCAAGCTTTTAAACAAAACAAGGAACAAAATCTGATTTTCACAGTCGACGTGATCACTCGGTAAGTCAGTATGCGTTCCAACGCCTATACAGGGATATATATATTTTTTTAATCATATCCCCCTCTTGGGACTGAGGTTCACTCACATGTTACACTCTTCGAGATCTTCTGCCTTGCACATCAACTTTTTTCTTCACCATGGAACTCATATAAAACCTGACTCCAGTGAATTAAATAGCAGGTTCCTTAGCAGTGCGTGGCGTGTCGCCTTAAATTTGCTCTGTCGATCAGGCTTTGTCGTTGTAACTAATTGAACAAAAGAAAAAGGCAATACCTAGACTTCCTAGTATCCTGTAATGCCAATTAGAACAAATGATACAAAGTACAGTGCAGCCGAAATGGCAGTTCCTGCCACAAAATTGTATGAGAGGCGCTTGTTGTCACGATTTGGTACAAATACCATCTTCAAGGTATTAGTCAATTCGAAGAGCCTATGGGAAACCTGCAGTGGTAATACATGACAACGTGTAAGTTGCTGCAGACTATTGTCTTCGGTATCTTACATAGGGGAGATCTACATACCGCAACATATACAGCAGTAGTGAGCATGAAATTGAGCAGTGGATAATTTGGGATTATTGACAGTAGCCATTTTGGTTGGCCATTGGGCACACTTGATCTGCAGGAGTTAACAAAGCAAATGAGACAACATCAGTACTTGACAATGTGAAGAAGTTTTTTTTTTTTCATTGGTGCAAATGGAAGGACGAACTACAAAGAGAAACAGCAGATGGTTACCTGAGCCAGATATGGAACTGAGATATGTATGTCTCTAGTGTAATCTTTCCAAGCCAGCTGGAACAGCCAAATGAACAAATACAGGAGTCACATATTCGCACAACATGACACAAACATTAAGATAAAAGGTACAGCGCATTACACAAAACCAAAACTTACGCAAATAGTGTGAGGGAGAAGCTCCTGAATTCTTGAGTGAAGTTGCGTAGGCATATGTAGACACTTTTGAGTACACACACAACCATGCAGCAAATCAGATTTTGCACACTTACAGACCCCCTAAAAATGTATTAGAAAGGTAAGGTACATACGTTATGGGGATCCAGGATGTATATGGATGCAGCTTGTTGTAAGTAATCTTATCCAGCTTATAAATGTATTCATACCACAAATAACCAGCCTGCGATCAACACACAGCATGTGTTACCGAAAGTAAGGTATTTAAAAAATTGTCAGGTGTTTGATAATTACCGTCAATGACACTGTAACCATTGAGGCCTTAATATAGAGTTTGGTTCTCATTTCAGTTTCTTCCAGCTTCTCCATCCACTTCTCAACCTGAGAGGATATTTCATCAATGCCAAAATACAACTTTCTTTTGCTCCCTTTCAATCAATTCTAAGCTGTCTCTGAATATAAAGAAACAGCACAGCTACAATAAAAAACATATGGTCGAAAACATACAGTTGGATGGTAATATGCATATATCATCCCAATAATCCAAATGTAGCGATCCAGTCCAGATCGGAATTGCCATTCATGCAAACGGGGTAGATCTGGTTTAGAAGGATCGGTATAGCCTGCATACAAAGGCAAATAGCATTGGCCATCTTTTAGAAGGAAAATGCAAGGGATATCCATACCACAAAAGGTTTGAGAAGGAAACTTACCTAGAAGAAATGTTAATGGGCTCCATACTATGTCAAAGACACCTGGAACTTCCCAAACCAGGACAACTACCAAGAAGCAAGCAACAAATTTCATTGCCATCACAGATCTAATCTCATTATATTTGTTTAGAATTCCAAGAGCACCATAAACCATGAGGGTGAAAAGGGTGTGCATAGGACAAATATAATAGAGTGTATAGTCATTGTTCAGGACAATGCAGCAGAATATAACAAAGAAATTGAGGCGCCACATCATCTGTTGCAGGTGCAACCATGTTAGGAAAACTCTAATGTAAAGAATCAGAAACAGTGGGGGTGTAAAGATGCACCTGAGCAAATCTTCCAATACTGAAATCCTTCCTCACATAATAATAAGAGAAATTGCCAAATCCAGTCATCCAGACATATGCAGCAATGAACACACGGATTGCATTGTAGATTTCTTTAGCATTGAAGTAATGGTACATCAAGAATAGCACCTGGGAATTAGATAAAGTAATGCTGAAGACTGTTGCAGGCTGCTAGTGGTAGGACAGAAGTTGAACCCAGTATCATACAGTTCATAAAAGGAAATTATCGAGCAAATCAAAATTACACACAACTTAGGGCAGAGAAATGAACCTTCACAAGGCAGTGTGGTGTAAAAGTTAGCATGGCAAAGCTTTGGTGGTAGGACAGGTCAAAACCCAATGTTTCACAATTAATGGGTGCTAATGACCAAATTAGCTTATTTGCAACTGAAGAGAGGTCCATAACCATGAATGGACCATCAAGAGCATGATAAACCATACATGCTACTATGCTAGCTGTGCCAGATGAGAGTAGATACTTATAACTGCATACATCATACTTCTATAGTTCTGATGTACCAATGCTCATACATGAACCGTAGCTACTCACCCAACTATGTTTATGGGCAATTATTAAAAACAATTGTTTCTGAGACCCAGGAAACACTGCAGAAGGAAGATAAAACTATGATAAGTACCTGCATCCAACCCTTCCATTCTTCGGTTTGATGCCGATTCAAGTACAGTATAGATTTTCCTGTGAATGCTGACTTGTCCTGATGGACCTTAAAGGAAGTCATAGCTGCTACGATGATAAGAAGAAAGTAGAGGAAAAGGAACAGATCCCGGCTGTAATTCTGCAGATGAAGCATACAAATAAAAAGGTTGGTGGATTAAAGCGTTACACTATATATAATGGCACATGAAGAATGCACTGGGATATTTTTCATCAATCTGAATAATTCAGAAAATTTGAAAGGTTCTAACAAGTGGCAATTTTATTAATATGTCAATTAGGCACGTGGCCAGACTGTGTAACAATATCAGCACAACAGTACCTTGGCAGACTCTCCAAGCAAGTTTGTACGATCACATATGTAAAAATAAAGTAGATACCCTCCAAACTCAGATCTGAAAACACCAATGCAATCCAGTTAGCAGAATAGTGCAACTAGGAAGCATAAATGATTGGAGGAGCAACTGTAGCTTACATTGCCCTCAGTGTTAATCGATTCTCCAGAAGAAGCATCTGGTCCATGAAGATAAGTCTGTTGAACCCAACATTTTCTTTTTGTCAGAGACTCAATGCCTTCGAATTCTGATATTGAGAAATTGTAAATTTGCAATTTATAGAGAACCTGAGCATTTGTGATGTGAAGGAAGTATAAGCTGGCTTTGCAACCACTTCTTGGCCGCCCTCCTCCAACAACATTGTCTGGTCTTCTGCTTTGACTGAAATGTTATCCATTACTGCTAGATTGACATCTGAATGTCTACTGACAAAGATGAAGAGCCAGAAACTCAAATAAGACTCTTACAGTTATATTATAGATGGTTATTGTGATGTTACTATATATACTGCAGTCTCAGTCAAAGCAACATGTAAGAGTGCATGGCCGCATGGCAATATGCATCCCAGGACTTTCAAAATACAGAAAGCACTGCAAGAGTAGGACATCTAGAGATAAGGTTCTTTTAAAACAAGCAGTTTCTTTTTCTCGCAGAAAACATTAGAATAATATATACTACCTACAGTCAGTATTACTTGATGTTTCAGAGAGCCGAATTGACTTGTAGTCAGTTGTGTTTGGTTGTAAGAAACAACAAGTAATACTGACAGGAGGGAGTACCATTATGGCACTTAGAATCTTTACAAAAATAGCAGATTCTCAGGATCAAACTAACATTTACTTACGTTTTAATAGAACAAGTATTCTTCCTATGGAAGAGAACCTCAGCATACACCCATGCTGCGAAAACCCATAGAAAGCCTAGAATAGCAGAAACCTGCACGGAAAGCAAAACAAAGCTTACTTAGTTCCAGAGATGGAGGTCCCAAATAATATAAACATCATATTGCTAGAACCTAATGGCAGCCTTAAGGTCCAAGTTCTCCATATCCACAAACTACATACAGAAGCAATTTGATTCTCCAACCCTTAAACCCTAAACCCCGAACATACCAATTTTCGAGCAGCACTGCTGAGAGGAACCGCCACCCTATATTTGGTGCAATAACAGCAAGATGACATCAACCTGACCAACCCTACTTGATCCACCACAAGACCACAATACAAGAAAGAAGAAACTAGCCACAAACAAACAAACCCACATTAGAACTTGTTTGGGTGGAAATTAAACTAAGATCCACCCCAATCCACTCCGACACACATGGATTGAGGTGGATACGAGTGCATCCAAACAAGACCCTAGCATATGCGAACTTAACACTTGCATCGGCAGTAAGTTGCACCAACCGACCAACGGGACACGTGCACCCAACAACATTCAACGATCACAGCACCCCAAATTTGGCAGCTACTGTGCCAAGCCCGCAGCATATGATCCAATCGCTCAACCCGCGCGAGAAATTCCAGACGCGTCGCATCTCCAGCGCTTCTCCGCGATCACCAAGAGCTCATAACCCAGCGCGCGATTCAGCGTCGCAACCGCGTACGAACCCACACCCAGCCGTCCCATTCCCCCGCTGGCCGCCGCCCGCTCCCCGTGTCACCAAATCGAGCCACCCATCTCAGCAACCCCACTCCAATGGTCTCGAACCCAAGAGAATTCCCAAGCGGTGCCGCACTGCGGAGAGCAGCAATCTCCGGGGCAGCGCCCGGCGGAACGGATCGAGGAGGCGCGAGTTAGGGTTCGGTTCACCTGGCCGGGCGTGACGGAGGTCGAGGGCTCCATGGCAAGCCTGCCCGCGGACGCGACAGCCTCCGCCATTCCTCTACAGCATCCGCCGGCCCGAGCCCCCCGCTCGGATCCAAACCCAAGCGAGCAACGCGAACACGAGGACGGAAATTAGGTGAGAGGAAAGAAATAAGCGCGGGTTTATGTGAGAGGAAATGGACTCGCCGGTTTAAAGCGTCTGGTGGCGGACGACCGGATGTGCGAGCCTCTATGAGGCTGCCATGTGGGACTAGGAACGAGTACTTTTGGTACTATAGCCACTGACTGTGGGACCGGGAGAAACTCCCTGAGCCGCGGGACCCGCAGACGGTGGGTCTCGGAAGTGACGGTGTAACTAAAAAGGAGGCCGGCCAGAGTTAGGTAGATTTAGGTGAGACGTGAGATGATAACTTGGGGAAAAAATATTTCTAGTTTCCTTTTGAAATACACAAACGGAGTGCAGAATGCTCCCTGTTAACGCAATGTTACTACAGTGTGATACTAGTAGTACACAAAAGATACGGAGTAAGCTCTACGAAATGACATCCCTGCCCTTGTCGGTCACCTGGATCTTGGTGCATTTTGCATCTTGCTGCAGCAGCTCCGCGTTTACTTGTGTTTTGGCGTTCTCGATGATTAGTATTAGGGGTGGTTTAGTTGACGATTTTTTTTGGAAAATAGTATTATAGTATTTTCGTTATTATTTGACAATTAGTGTCTAATTATAGTCTAATTAGGCTTAAAAGATTCGTCTCGTGAATTTCATCTAAACTGTGTAATTAGTTTTATTTTTTATTTATATTTAATGCTTCATACATGCGTCTAAAGATTCGATGTGACACAGAATTTTAAAAAAAATTATAAAATTTTAGGAACTAAACATGCTCTTACTTGTTTTTAAGATTTCGATGCACTGAAAGCAATTAACGTGTTGCCCAGCGGAGTCAGCTCGTCAAAGAATCAGAATCTTTTTTGATCTCAAAGAATCAGATTCTACGGAAAGATCTTTCTTCTGTCAGTACGTGCTGTATATCTTATTCGATCGCCATTGATGATTCAATATAAAATAAATAAACTGCGTGGTGACTTGGGACTCTTAACTCTCCTGATTCACCCTCGACACCATAAAACTATCATATTGGCGAGACTTACTTTTTCTTCTCCATCAGCTCTTTTTTTTTTTCCACCAGAAACAGTACTTTTACGAGACCCCGCTAAATGATCAAGTTGGGCCGGCCTGATAGGTTGAGCCGAATGGACCAGTACTGTAGCTCCAGCCGCAGGTACTGTAGTAGCGGAACACTGTAGATATGGCTCCCGTGCCGGAACCCGAAGAAACTGAACCAGCTCAAAGAGCCTGCACCTACGTTCGGATAAACCTTTTACACGAAACGACGATAAAAACACATGAGAGTTAATTAGCCGTCCCCTCAACTAGTGTGCCCCCACGAATAGCTGTCATTCTTCCTCTCGGCACAGCCATGGAGATCGAGAAATCCGGGCGCGGCTCCGCGGTGGCCGGGGCCGAAGCCGCGGCTGGCCGCGAGCAGGAAGAAGATGCAAGCAGGAAGAAGCAGCGGGGCCACGGCCGGAGCTGGGCACGGCGCTGTACGGGGGCAGGGGTGGGCGTGACGCTGGCCGGTGGCGCGCGGTTGGTGGCGAGTTCCAGGACCCAGGCCGGTAACCGACGGGTCGGGACCTCGACCGTTGCGGCTGCGGCCAACGTATTCGCGATGTGGAAGGAGATGAACCGATGGAAGGGAAATGAAAAAAAAAAAAAAAATAAATTATAACTGACATATGGGGCCCATCCAGCATCTTGGGCTAGCCCTATTACCTCTTTATTAGGAGAGTTGTACTGAGGCACTGTTGAAGGTGCTCTTAGCGCTGTAGCCAATAGTTTAAACTGCTGTCTACTCCAGAAAAGGAAAATGCAAACCACTAACTTGAAGTCAAATATTCACCGTAGGCTTGTCCAGAGATTCTAACCCAGTGCCTGAGTTGCAACTTACTGTATTCTGGTGAGTGGCAAACTGGCAACGCGGTGAGCTTAATGCGTTTGGCACTGAACCGAAGCAGTATGTCGACAGCATTACAGTTACAGCAACAGCCAACTTATTATTCTAGTAATTCAGTTTCTGCGTGGGAAGTGCCTAACCCACAACCCAGTACCCCACTAGCACGACGAGGACGAGGTCCCAACTCCCAAATGCCTATCAGCACGCATCAGTCAGCACGGCAGTCGGTAGCAGCTTACGTTCGCCCCGCCGTCCGTAATCACTGGGATATGCACGACCATATTTCAGACCCCAAAATCGTTTAAGTTACTTGGGTAGTTGGTAAGAATTGATTTCCAAGCTGTTCTTATTATATTTAATTAAAATATTTGATAACAAAAATGATTTTAAGAGACAAACTCTCTAATTAGCAGAGGCGGATGCACCTAGCGACTGTCTCCGTAAATGGTCAATGGGCCTCTATGAGAAAATGTTCGTCATCGAAAATCATTTACCGAGGCAGGCGTCCATAATGCGGCCATCTCTAATAATCATCGTTAATGAAGGTGGACATCTTAGGACACCTATCTCCTAAATCAATTTTGCGTTAATCGCTATTAATAGAGGTGGACGTTCTAAGTGTCTGTATTCTTAAATCGATTTGCATAGGCGGACTTTGAATATTCACTTGGTTAATACCAAAGCTGTAGTGGCCGACCTGATCTATATTTTTTCTATTAATAAGTTTTTTTATTTAAAGTTATTTACTATCTCAAATATTTATTTTGAATTCACATATTTTGATACTTGATTTTTTTAATGTTCCAAATAATCTTGGATGGAGACACATCATATACTAAAGTTGTAGTACTTGACAATATTTAAAACTTTGTAGTTGAAGCTTTTTTTCATTTGAGTTTATTTAGTAGTTTAAATATTCAATACAAGATTACATAATGTTTGTGCATAAAGATAAAATTCTATATGTACTCACAAGCAATTTAGTGGTGTAGTGGTAAGGTGGTGCAAGTTTTAACCAGTCCAGAGGTCATTTACTCATTTAAACGTTTTGAGAGTCGAAGGTGACAGTTTTTCAGTTCTAAAATTCGAGGAGAAAATATAAACTACGGCGATATGTTAGGAGATAAAAATGTTTTTTATTTTTTTTACTTTCCGGGCTGATAAAATCTTTGCAAATTTGCTGGGATTTGGCCCGTTAAGGGCCGGCGAGTTCCCAGTTGTTCGGGCCAATCAAATCAGTTCATCACAGCGGGCCACGCCACCCACCAACTGCATGTAGTTAAGTTGGAACCCGTCCGCCAGCCCACATTATTGCCAGCCCACCTAGCCTGCGCAACCTGCAGCTTTGAGCCGCTCGCTCTCCCGCCGGCCATCCGCCCGCCGCAGCGCGCCAGAGCCAGCTGATCATGCTCACGGTGTCCCTTCTGGACGCGCAACTCTCCCGCTGCCGCTCCGCGCGCCACCTCCTTGAAATCCACGCGCAGTTCCTCGCGTCGGGCCTCCTCGCTGACGCCTACGCCGCCAGCCGCCTCCTCCTCTTCACCACCTCCGCGACCGCCGCGCGCCTCCTGCCGCAACCGCTCCACCACTCCCTCCAACTCTTCCGGCTCGTTTGCAGCCCCAATGCCTTCACCTGCAACACTCTCCTCAGGGCGGCTCTGCGCCAGGGCTTTCCCCACCTCTGCTTCCCGCTCTACGCCTCCATGCCCGCGGCGCCCGACACCTACACGCACCCGCTCCTCGCCGCCGCCTGCGCCGCCAGAGGGGACGCGAGGGAAGGCCGGCAGGTCCACTCCCACGCCGTCAAGCACGGGTTCGGCGACAACCTGTACCTCAGGAACGCGCTGATGCACATGTACTCCGCATGCGGCTGCGTCGCGGGCGCGCGCAGGGTGTTCGACGCGGGACCCTTGTGGGACGCCGTTTCCTGGAACACGATCCTCGTCACGTACGTGCGGGACGGGGATGTCGAGCAGGCTGTCAGGGTGTTTGCGAGGATGCCAGAGAGGAGCGCTGCGGCGGTGAGCTCGATGGTGGCGTTGTTCGCGAGGAGAGGGATGGTAGAGGAGGCGAGGGGGGTGTTTGACGGAGCGGAGCATAGGGATGCGTTCACGTGGACAGCTATGATCTCTTGCTTCGAGCGGAATGATCTGTTTGTGGAAGCGTTGGCTGTGTTTTCAGATATGCGTGAAGAGGGGTGGCCTGTAGACGAGGTAGTGATGGTCAGTGTGGTCGCTGCTTGCGCTAAGTCAGAGGTGATTCAGAACGGAGAGGTGTGCCATGGGCTGGTTGTCAGAGCTGGCCTTGGTAGGCGGGTCAATGTCCAGAATGCGCTGATCCACATGTACTCAAGTTGTCTGGATGTTGTTGCAGCACGGAGATTGTTTGATAGCGGTGAGAGTTTGGACCACTTCTCCTGGAACTCGATGATTTCTGGCTATCTGAAGAATGGTCGCATCAAAGATGCAAAAGCGTTATTCGGTGTGATGCCTGACAAGGACAACGTTTCCTGGAGTGCAATGATAGCTGGTTGTGTGCAAAATAACCAGTCACCTGAGGCGCTCACTGTTTTTGACAACATGAGAGCCCATGAAATCAAACCGGATGAAGTTACGCTTATTAGTGTAATCTCTGCATGTACTAATTTGTCTGCTTTGGAGCAAGGGAAGTTAGTGCATGAGTACATTAGGCAATACCAATATAACATCACTATCGTACTTGGGACTAGCCTCATTGACATGTACATGAAATGTGGATGCATGGAGGCTGCACTAGAAGTCTTCGACATGGTGGAAGAAAAGGGACACCTTGCTGGAATGCTATCATTGTGGGACTGGCCATGAATGGCCTTGTTACAAGATCCCTTGACATGTTCTCTGAGATGGAAACCTCTGGCACTGCTGTCCCCAATGAGATAACTTTCACTGGAGTTCTGAGTGCTTGCAGACATGGTGGCTTAGTTGAGGAGGGCCGTCAATTTTTCAAGTTGATGCAGAACAAGTACAAGATTATACCAAACATCAGACACTATGGATGTATGATTGATCTCCTTGGACGTGCTGGGTATGTCAGAGAGGCTGAGGACCTGATTCAGAGCATGCCCATGTCACCTGATGTTCCAGCATGGGGTGCATTGCTTGGTGCCTGTTGGAAGCACGGCGATAGTGAGGTCGGGGAAAGGGTTGGCAAGAAGCTTGTCAAGCTGGATCCTCATCATGATGGGTTCCAAACTATGTTATCTAACATATATGCTTCAGAGGGGATGTGGCAGTGTGTAAAGGACCTAAGGGGTTCCATGAAGCAACATGTAGCAAAAGTTGCAGGCTGTAGTGTGGTTGAATCATCGCTTTCTTCATGAGATTCTCGCATGTGATGGTATTAGAAAGCAGAATGCATAGAGTGTGGTTTAAGCTGAAGTATTACATGGTCAGAATCCAATACTTTTATCTGCTTAGCTTGTGTTCTAACTATTACCTGTGTTCTCAGGTCTTGTAATCCAGTTCATGATTCCTCTATCTGCTTTTGTACTAAAACACTTTTCCCTATTATCATAACTGCAACATTCATCCTTTGAACATCCAACAAGTTCAGATAAAGCTTGCATCACTGCCTTCTCTTCCAAAAGCATAATAATTATTCATCTGACAATGAGCGAGGAGCAACACAATTCGTCAAGAGTTGGTTTTATGTTGCAAAAAAAGATATGCACAGACTAATTACTTTTCTGCCTGAGGTATGTACTTGTTATGAAAAGGTCAGTAATAGATTAGGAAGGTTAGGAAGGGGTAAGAATAAAAAAGGATTTTGGTATGTAGGCTGTGGTTGGTTCATATATACTAATTTTCGCAAAAGTAGAAATATTTTGGTCTAACTTGAAATTATATATTTCAGTTGGAACTTTACACAAATTTTGGCATAAGTTGACACAGGCTAGACCCTCATGCTGCTGTAATTGACATGTGTACCCCTCCTATTTGCTGCCAAACATGTGTGTTTATATGAAACTATAGTTTTTTGGTAATTTTCATTAAAATATATGGAGTTCTTGGAAATTTACTAATAGAAATAGCTATCAAATTAGAAACCAATTATTTAACTATTTGATTAAAGTATGTATCTAACACATTAGTAAGTGATTGCAGTAATATTGTGACTATACCTAGTCCAAAGTAATCTAAAAAGGCTTGAAAGTATTGAGGTAAATTGGGTGGGAGGCAACATATATGGTTTTAGATCTTTGAAATATTAATTTTTGGCATGTCAACTGAAAACCCCTTTTTTATATTTTTACAGATCAACTTGATAAAGTGCAAAGCAAACGACAATGGTAATTCTTTATTTCTCATGCATCAGTTGAAGTATTGATTCCCGTTCCAACTTGTGCACCTTGATAGTTTCATAACTAGTGTTTTCACAAACTGTCAGAAAAAAAAATCACATAGGGACACATAGGTTGGCCATTAATAGGCGGGTCCTAAATGTCAAACAACTATGGGTGAGAGTCAACTGTTAGTTTTTTTAACCAGTTTTTAGCAAGATTAAAGGAATTTAATGAAAGATTATATTAAAGCTCATGTAATTCAGGGAAACAAAAATTGAAAATGTAATCTTGTGATAGCTCTGACAAAAAAATATGTAGTTTCTATTTTGAGAAATTTACTTTAAGTACTACTAACTCCTTAGTGTAAAGATGTCTACAAGCTGTATATGTACCCAGAGTTGAAGCATACTTTACTACTACATGCATGCTGTAGGTATTTGGGCTTTGATGGTACTCCATTTGGTCCAAAGTAGACATCATATTTGCTCAATGTACATACAGATAAAAGATATTAGTTTCTTTACATTGCCTTGCCCCTAGTTGTTGTCTCTTTAGCTTCAGTACCGGGAAATAGTTAATAAGGTTATAGGGTTATTTGGTGAAGAAAATATTACCTTGTATAAACTTACATGATTAGTAATGTTTGCAAACCAAAGCTTACTGCCTAAAAAGGCTTCTATTTTGGAGTTCAGTCAATAGTTTACTGAAGTAATTCATTGTATGTAGTTCCAAACATTGTCCTCAAGATTTCTATTGGCTCGGCAACAGTCTTGTAAGTTTTCCTTCTAGTTCTAACATCACTCGTGTGATTGATGATTGAGGTCCAGCTTAGAGGGGATCAACATGGACTTGCTAAACCAAGTATATATGACTTGAAGGGATACAAGTATGCATCCAAGTGAGTAGACTTTTCTTTAGTGTCTGAAATATCCCTAGAAGAACTTTTCTCTATTTGTGATGTTTTGAGAAAATCTTAACATTTCCCTCCTGTTCTTTTTACACGCAGAGGAGAGAAAATATGGAACAACATTTGAAGTCAACAAAACCATTGTGTTATTTTAGTGAAGTACCAGCTATTAAGGTCGATACATTGAATAGAAAAAAAAGATTAAATCTAAACCTTATTGACTGACAGAACCATGTGCTAGACTGAAGACAATCACCACTTGAGCTATATAAATAGCATAGTTATTAGGATGGATGCTCAGGTACGTTAGAATAGAGTTATGTACTCATTCTACTGATCCACGAGATGCGGACACCTTACATGTTTGTTATAGATTAATTGAGATCTTGCTGGCTCATAATGATCGTTTCATTAAGTATCCCAGTAGGCTGGTCCAGTTGAGGTATTCAGATGTCAAGTGGCATTGTTAGTCAATGAAATAACATTACCATGATAGATCTGTTTAATGTTATGAGAAACCACATTTAAGGTCTTTTATAGAGAATTATTGGTAACATCCCTTTGCACATAAAAAAATATATGTCAAATCTGATGAAATCATATAAATAATTGTGATGACATCCAAGTGTGCCTAATGATTTAGTAATATGTACCGGACTGATCTAAATGTCAGTGAGCCCAAGCAGCGCGATCACTAGCAAACTGCAGCCGCAAGGGATATGATCTGCTTATTTATTGCTTGATTCAGAAACTAATCCCTGACATGGAAAGGAAACTAATCCTGTCTCTAACTAGTATTATATTGCGAGGAAGTTTCTAGCTGGTAGTAAATCCCAAACAAACCAAATATACTAGTATTATCTTTAGTTGATATCAAATCTCACCAAACAACTAACTGAAGTACACTAAAATGTAAGGAGAAGCCCACGTGCTACACGCCCTGGGCACTGTTTTACATGAATAAGTAGTAATCAACCAAGGACCTGGACATGACAAATCAGTTATTTTTATTTTAATAATATTATAGTAAAGAGGCTAGCTGTTGAGTCACATACTGAAATATGTATAGCTGCTCTGCCTTCTCCCTCTATATATACCCTGCATTTCTGCCTTTTGAAAATGCCTTACTCTTGCATCATTCGATAATTTTATCACTCTTGCTTACATTCTTACATCTGCTCATCACCAGTAACACCAAAAGCAAACACATCTACTTCGCTAGAATGGGCGAGAGTAGAGGCAGCATTGCCTTCTTTACGACCTACAGACCACCGGTGGCACTGGACATATTCTGCTGTCCAGTTCTGCCATCATCCAGGCAGGATGAGCTCCACCTGACGGACCTACAATTACAACTGCCGACCCATTCCACCAGCGGCTCTCAAGATGATCATCAAGCGCCTGAGACTGGCTCCTGAAGCCGTCATAGATGACGATGTTGATTCTGGCCGTCTCACTGGTCTGGTCTTTGTTTCCGAAAGAGAGCACAACTTGGAAACACTTCATGTAGCCCTTCGCTTCACTGCCAACAATGAAGTCAGGGTCTTCAGCTTGGCGGACATCTATGGCTCCGACTTATTCAGTGGTGCCCGTTTGGAGGACAATGGCTGCATTGCTGGTGGCTACGAGGTGGATGGGTCTACAATTGACCATTACCTTGTCTATGTATCTACCAAGGAGCCAGTCCAAGAACGGCGCAGCCCCTGGAACGTTGTTTACAAAACCAACCTTAGAACCGGTGAAACTGAGCGGCTCACCCCACCAGGTCAGGTTACTGATCTTTCTCTTGAAGCCTTCTGCTGTTTGATCCATCTCCTACAGTCCTACTTGTGGTTAGATGCATGACTAGATATTAGTATTTCCTTTCCGCTTAATTTGATCATTGATCTTGTAATTCTGTTTCAACAGGAACATTTGATATAAGTCCCTCTGTGTCACCATCTGGGAAGAAGATCGCTTTGGCTTCATTCCAAGGTAAGACATGGGATGGCGAGATTAAGGATCTGAAGACAAACATCTACGTGACGAGCTTAGACAATCCGTCTCTAGAGCGAAGGCGAGTGATAGAAAATGGTGGCTGGCCATCGTGGGGCAGTGAAAACGTCATATTTTTTCACAGGAAGGTTGGGGACATTTGGGGAGTGTTTCGGTACAACCTGAGCACTGGTGAAACAGTCCAGGTGACCCCTGACGCATTCGATGCAGTGACTCCGGCAGCTATTGATGAGACCAGAGTAGCAGTTGCAACCATTCGCCAGAAGTCTGAGTTCACTGATGTTCGCAACGAAGCCCAGTACCGGCACATTGAGATCTTTGACATGAGTGCACAGGAACAACCGTTGCAAATAACGCAGAACACCAGGGCAAAAGCCGACCATTTCAACCCCTTCGTGATGAACGGTGGCAAGTACATTGGCTATCATCGTTGCAAAAGCGACCTTCTCAAGGTACATATTGTTCATTGAACTCCTCCGATCCACTTGCAATACATAGTCATTATGGGGATAATTTGGGGCCATGTGATCGAAATACTGTTTTCTGCAGCATGGAGATGATGTGCCGAGACATTTTCATAAGGTGCAATCGCCACACGAAGATGTTGGAGTGTTTAGGGTGTCTGGTGTGTTCCCAACGTTTTCGAAAGATGGTTCTAAGCTTGCATTCGTCGATAACGAGTTCAAAGCCGTGTGGTTGGCAGATAGCCAGGGATTGCGTGTGGTCTTCGAGGTAAGGAACTGGCTCCTTTAGTTTATGTTTCTCTAATGGAGAAACAGGTGAATTTTGCAAGCTTGCAATGGTTTATAACCAGAGGAATATGCCTTTCTCAATTATGAGCGATTTGGTGTTGTTTCTACAGACAGATGGCCCAGACAGCATCTTCTCACCAGTGTGGAACCAAAAGAAAGATATACTGTACGTATGCATGGGGCCATCCTTCAAAGCTAACGAAACACTGGAAATCCATGCCATCCCTGATGTATCCCGTGCTGCACGCGCACGAAGACAGACGCGACAGCTCACAAAGGGGAGATTCAACAATGCCTTCCCTTACACCAATCCTGATGGTAAGATAATGTCGCTCTTGCGGTCTTGCCGTTCTGCTCCAGTTACATCTACTACTAGCTACAGAATATATTGCTTCCTGAAAGGTAGAAATAAAGTTGCAACGTTCTGACGGTGGGTAAACCATGATATATATGTAGGTAAGAAATTTGTTTTTCGATCAACGAGAGATGGAGGAGACAAGAACTACAAGAATCTGTACATAATGGAGGACGCAGAGTTCGGGGAGGTCGGAGGTGGCAAGGTGACACGGCTAACTGAAGGCAACTGGATCGACACGCATTGCCAGTGGTCTCCGGATGGGAACCTGATCGTGTTCGCGTCAAACCGCGACAAGCCCGCCGACGCGCGACCACGGCCTGGACCCGGGGTACTTCGCCGTGTACCTGATGAACGTCAGCGACCGCTCGGTTGTGAGGGTAATCAGGAGTGGGTATGACCTGTCCGGGCACGTGAACCACCCGGTGTTCAGCCCGGACGGGCGGAGCATCGCCGTGACGTCGGACCTCGCAGCGGTGTCCGCCGACCCGATGTCTCTGCCGACCTTCCTCCACTCCGTCAGGCCCTACGGCGACATCTTCTCCGTCGACATCGACCTGGACGACATGGAGAAGAACAAAGACCTGGACAAGTTCGTGCGCGTCACGCACAGCAGATACGAGAACTCCACTCCTGCTTGGACCACTACTAGAGAACAGTCTTTAGAACGATGTCCCAATTTAGCATTAGTCTCGGCATTTTTTGCCCCCGGGACTAAAGGACCCTTTAGTCCCGGTTGGTAGCTACTCAACCGGGACTAAAGGTCCCTGCCTAACGGTCGTCCATGGGGCGGGATCTTTAGTCCGGCTGGTATTACTACTAACCGGGACTAAAGGTTTACCTTTAGTCCCGTTGGTAATACCAACCGGACTAAAGCTTTAGTCCCGGTTTGGGTTATGCCCGGAATAAAGATTAATATTTAGTCCTGGTTTGGACCCCTAACCGGACTAATTATCCCGACCTATAATTCGCTCAATTCTTCCTCCCCGAGCCCGAGCCATTCCATTATTCAAACTCACCGCCTCGTTCTTGACTTTTTGTTGTTGTTCTTGCACTCTCCCCCTCCATTGGTGTTGCTCTTCGATTTTGGAGGTAACAAACTTAATCCTCTTATGTTTTATCAGTAGCTTATCTCATTTTGCGATGTAGATGCATGTGTAACTTTATATGTTGGACTTTATTATGATTTTATATGTCATTTTTAGCTCAAAATCACATGATGATTTGCATATATGTTTGGATAAACAAAAGTTAAATTAGTTCATCAAAATCACGCCTCGCTTTCGTCTCTCATTGGAGCACGCGCCATTCTCGTCCCCGGTGGCTTACGTGATCTTAGAATTAATTTTTCCATGAAATAAAAAACTTAGAAAATTGTTAGAAAATTGTAGAAAATCCGCACTAGTTGAACTTGCGGACCGTGTTCATGTCGGCGAGCATGTTCTCTGCCGAGCGGTAACGGACGTCAAGGAGGAGCTTTGATTCTCGAGGGGAGAGCGGCAGCGGTCGTGGAAGACCGTGTTCCCTTTCTCGTAGAATCGGAGCTCTTCCTTGGCCAAGCACGGTGCCGTCCGGTGGGAGAAATGCTCGTCGAGATGATCACGTAAGCAAAGGTCAACTAGTACTGATGGTTATTTATTGAAACATGTTTTTGAGCTATAATTTGATGAATATTTGAAAATATGAAATTTACACTAGTTTGCAAAAATAAGTATAGAAAGTATATGACAACTGTTACTGGATCCTCGGCCTCTCGTTCGGTTGCGAAACGACTGAGGCCAGAACTCCCTCTCATTATCTGCGGCAAGTGTAAGCAGAAGATTGTGATGGAGTACCGAGTCAAGAGACAGGGACCCAACAAGGGTCGTGTTTTCTACAAGTGCCCGGATCGCGATGTGAGTTTCTTACGCATTTTATAATTATGGCTAATTGACCTGCTTTTCTTGAATATTTTTGACTAAATATTTTTTGGCTTTAATTTCAGTGGGAGGGCAATGGATGCGATGGTTGGTACTGGGAGGAAGATTATGCTACATACACGCTTAGCAAAGAAGAGAGGGACAACATGTTCGAATGTCTAAGCAGCATCAAGGTCCCATCGGGATTCTCCTCCAATATAAAGGGTATAATAAATGTGCGGATAAAAATTCCTAAACTTAAAGTCCCACGACCGCCACGTGCTTATGACGCAATTGCTTCCGGTTGCTTTAAGAGGAATTCTACCTCCACATGTATGCGTCTAGCCACCGTGAAGCTATGTGCATTTCTCAATGCAATTTCTCGAAAGGCAATCAATCCAAAGGAACTAGCTACTCTCTGAACGATGTGGTTCAATGTCTTGTCGACTTTGAGTTGATGTTCCTCCATCCTTCTTTAATATCATGACACACATCCTAGTTCATTTGGTGAAGGAGATTAGTATTCTTGGACCTGTGTTCTTACATAACATGTTCCCCTTGAGAGGTTTATGGGAGTCTTGAAGAAATATGTGAAAGTCCGTTCTAAGCTGAAGGAAGCATCGCCCGTGGCTATGGAGCAGAGGAGGTCATTGAGTTACGTGTTGACTTTATTCCTGACATTGCTCCGATTGGCGTTCCCGAATCACGACATGAGGGGAGACTCAGTGGTAAAGGAACTTTAGGGAAGAAAACATATATTGGCATGGAAGACGATTATTTCAATAAAGCACACTACACAGTTCTTCAGAACTCGTCATTGGTGCATCCGTACATCGAGATACATAAGGAGTTCTTACGATCCAAGTTTCGAGGAAGATCAAGCTTGGATTAGGCGTCGACACATGAAAAGTTTCGATGGTTGGTTGCGAAAAAGAATGTCAAGGCGATGACAATATTGATGAGCAAGCAGTATTTGTTGGCTAGGCGACCATCGTGGCATATCCTCACGTACCAAAGTGCGAGATAAATGGGAATACATTTTACACAGTTGCCCAAGATAAAAGGAGCACCAATCAAAATAGTGGTGTTACGCATAGATGGCACAGATCCAAATGGGAATATACAAACATATTATGGCGCATAGAAGAGATATGGGAACTAGACTACGCACCTAATTTTAAAGTCCCTTTGTTCCGGTGCCAATGGGTGAAGTTTGACCAGAAGGAGGGTAACAATCGACAAAGAGTATGGAATGACAACAAGGGACCTCAACAATATTGGATACAAAGAGGAACCATTAGTCCTTCTTGCCAGATGTGTGAGTCGGTGTTCTATGTGAAAGACATGTCTACAAAATCAAAGAGAGGAAAAAACGAAGACATCAACTCAATGATCAATGAGCCAAAGCGCCACATAATTCTTTACGGGAAAATAAATATAGTAGGAATTGAAGACAAGTCGGACATGTCCAAAGATTACGAAAGAAATGTCCAATTCCACCCTTCATAGTGAAGAAAGATCCAAGCATCATGTTAAATGATGAAGACACTCCATGGTTACGACAAGATCATAACCAAGGGTCATACGTCAAGAAGAAATTCAACTGTTGTGCCCGCATGATACAACGATGCATGTTTAATATATTATGTTTTAGAGAGCGGATATTATGTAATATGTTTTCTAACCCTAGATTGTCTAAAATTGAAAAGTTTTGAATACCAAGTTTGTTCATATCATCAATATCTACAATCCTTATATAGACCATTTTTCATTTGAGAAAGCTTGAATAAAATGTAGTTCAATTTTCACAAGTGTGTGACATAGTTTTAGAAAGTCTATAAGAGATAAGGAAAATTGTGACTAGTGTTTGATAAAAATTTCTCAAATGGGAAAATGATCTATGTAACAATTGTAGATCTTGCTGAGATGATCAAACTTGGTATTCAGAGTTTTTCATCTGAGGTCATTTAGTGTCTCATTTGAGCAAGTTTGACCAAGTCAAATTTGGTCAAATGAAAAACAAACACTTTGACCCTAGTATTATGGACTCTAAATGACTTCGAATTGAAAAGTTTTGAATACCAAGTTTGTTAAACTCAAAAAGATCTACAATTGTTGTTTTGGTCAACTTTCCATTTGAGAAAGTTTGGACGGTTCAAATTTATAATTTTTAAATTTTGACGCCTACAAACTAGTTTTCGGAACCCTAGATTGTCTAAAATTGAAAAGTTTTGAATACCAAGTTTGTTCATATCATCAATATCTACAATCCTTATATAGACCATTTTTTCATTTGAGAAAGCTTGAACAAAATGTAGTTCAATTTTCACAAGTGTGTGACATAGTTTTAGAAGTCTATAAGAGATAAGGAAAATTGTGACTAGTGTTTGATAAAAATTTCTCAAATGGGAAAATGATCTATGTAACAATTGTAAATCTTGCTGAGATGATCAAACTTGGTATTCAGAGTTTTTTTCATCTGAGGTCATTTAGTGTCTCATTTGAGCAAGTTTGACCAAGTCAAATTTGGTCAAATGAAAAAACAACTTTTGACCCTAGTATTATGGACTCTAAATGACTTCGAATTGAAAAGTTTTGAATACCAAGTTTGTTAAACTCAAAAAGATCTACAATTGTTGTTTTGGTCAACTTTCCATTTGAGAAAGTTTGGACGGTTCAAATTTATGATTTTTAAATTTCGACGCCTACACAAACTAGTTTTCGAACCCTAGATTGTCTAAAATTGAAAAGTTTTGAATACCAAGTTTGTTCATATCATCAATATCTACAATCCTTATATAGACCATTTTTCATTTGAGAAAACTTGAACAAAATGTAGTTCAATTTTCACAAGTGTGTGACATAGTTTTAGAAGTCTATAAGAGATAAGAAAAATTGTGACTAGTGTTTGATAAAATTTCTCAAATGGGAAAATGATCTATGTAACAATTGTAGATCTTGCTGAGATGATCAAACTTGGTATTCAGAGTTTTTTCATCTGAGGTCATTTAGTGTCTCATTTGAGCAAGTTTGACCAAGTCAAATTTGGTCAAATGAAAAACAACACTTTGACCCTAGTATTATGGACTCTAAATGACTTCGAATTGAAAAGTTTTGAATACCAAGTTTGTTAAACTCAAAAGATCTACAATTGTTGTTTTGGTCAACTTTCCATTTGAGAAAGTTTGGACGGTTCAAATTTATGATTTTTAAATTTCGACGCCTACCAAACTAGTTTTCGAACCCTAGATTGTCTAAAATTGAAAAGTTTTGAATACCAAGTTTGTTCATATCATCAATATCTACAATCCTTATATAGACCATTTTTCATTTGAGAAAGCTTGAACAAAATGTAGTTCAATTTTCACAAGTGTGTGACATAGTTTTAGAAGTCTATAAGAGATAAGGAAAATTGTGACTAGTGTTTGATAAAAATTTCTCAAATGGGAAAATGATCTATGTAACAATTGTAGATCTTGCTGAGATGATCAAACTTGGTATT